TTGTGTATTGCAAATTGATGAGGTGATAAACAATTTAACTAATAATAAATGAATTTTCATTCAAACCAATCTAACCGAGATGAAAAACTTAGAAGATAATTCATGTATATGCTATCAAGACTCAAGAGTCTGCATTGGATGCAAATGCTTTTGTGACGATGATGTTATTAGACGGTTGCTTTCTCGTCCAACTACGTGCAAATACGGTCAATTGACTCAAAGATGATTAGTGGACGATGAAATAGATTATATATTTGGCGGCGAAGAAAGATTATTCAAGGTGGTACGAGATATAGTTTTACTAGAGAATCAACTTCCGTTCTTTGTTCTTCAGAAGATCTTTCACATGATCGACTCTGGACAAGATGGGGAAAACTTGGTCATGATGTCCTTCATGATCAGGCATGCCTTTGGGTATTTGAACTTTATCCCTAGGAGGTTGTCCAGTTCTGTTAAGACATACTCTCATGTATTAGGATTCAAAAGACATACACAATATGTTTGTTTAAGTAATATATAAAAATAACTATCTCTCCATAAATTTTACTGTATCTCATGACTAAACTGTTACATACAAGAATAACTTACCTTACAGAACATTTGTGTATTGCAAATTGATGAGGTTATAAACAATTTAACTAATAATAAATGAATTTTCATTCAAACTTATATCTTTGGATCGTCAAGAAATAGTTATGCAATATGTTTTGTTTTAAATGTTACATAAAAAAATATCAAATTTTCTATAATATACTTGTAATTACATTACTTTTATAGAATAGTGTTACACTAATCTTTCATACCGTGGTCTAATAATGAAGTCAAATTAAGAAATTCATTTTAACTTGTAATTATATTCTCTTTAAATGATACAAACAATACCAAATGTTATATAACATCCTTGTAATTACATAATTTTTATGAAATAGTTAGGCTATGCGCTTTGTTTAAATGATACATAAAAATATCAAATTGTATATCTAATATACTTGTAATAACATAACTTTTATAAGAAACTATGATCACTTGCCTCTTCAATGTGCAATGACCCTGAGAACTTATTATAATATATTTATATTTACGTAGCTGTTATAGAAAAGGGTTACACAAATCTTTTGTACCGTGTAGTCTAATGATAAAGAGTTTATAGTCTAATGAAAAACTCATTTTATATAACGTTTGATTAAATTGTTGTGTAAAAATTAATATTTGTAACTACATAACAATAGTAGAATAGTGTTATACAAATCTTTTGTACAATATGATCTAATGACAAAGAGTACATAATTCAAGTGAGTTTTTTATAATATACATTTGTAATTACGTATCTGTTATAGAATAGTGTTACACAAATTTTTACGGTGTAGTCTAATGACAAATAAGTTATGATCTAGACAAAATTACGTTAAGAAAATCATAGACAGGGTTGTCCAATGAATCGCGTGGAGGCCATGTTCCAAAATTGAGATGTGGTCTTTTTTTTTTTTGACAAAAGATAATCATATATTGATACCAAAATATAGATAGTTACACCCTGGATCGAAGCCAGGTCCGAAAATCAAAAGAACGACTGAGATGTGGTCCAAATTGGCTTATGATTATTAAAATAATTATATCATCATTAATTGAAATGTAATATCTTTCTATCATATATTAATTAAAATAAATATATTATCTCTCTAATTTACGTATTATCCATGAGATCATTTTCACTTGTTATCATAGCTATTCCATTAATATTTGTTGTATTACTTTTTAACATACATACGGTTTTCATAACACAAACAATACTTTAACAAGCAATATACGTTTCTAGTATATTTTTTTTTTATAATGGTGAGAGATGTATTAATAAAAAGTAGAAGAAAAATCCCAGCAATGGTTCTAGTATATATACATGTTAACCAATAAGTAACACCAATATTAATCAATATAGATAAACTCAATATCATACTCATAATCATATAAATTATACACTACAAATACAACCTACAATATAGGATCGAATTAACTAACGAATCTAAATGGAACCCCAAATATTTAGACGCCCTGGGGCGGTCTGGTCCACTTTCTGGTTTCTCGTTCTTTCTATTGTATTTTTGCCTCTGGTTTGATTTTTTCCTCTTTCTATATCGGGTTCAGTCCCGTTGAACCTCAGACATCTATTCTTCCTTTCTTTCTTGTTTATGGTAATTTAATCAACATTATCCCCAAAAAGAATATAAAAAAAATGGAGGTCCTGTGCTAGAGGGCCTCCCGACTAGGGCTGGAAGTTTGGTATCGGTATTTGAGATATACCGAATACCGTACCGAATTTGTCTATATTTGGTATTACCGAATACACGTATTATTTTGTGGGATTGGGATTGGAATTGAATTTCAATTGTTAAACGGTATTAGGGATTACGGGATTGAGATTGGGTCGGGATATACCGAAATACCGATCAATACCGAAATATAAGCTAGTGCGTAATTTATCCTTTGAACTAGACTCTCTCATTCACTACTAGGCGACCCTCAATTACCAAGAGTGTCATTTAGTTATACATAGATCATTCTATCACTATTTCACACTAGTATTAGTCGTCTCTCAACCTCAAATTCGTCAAATTAAAGATTACCAATAACAAGAACTTGAGATATTAGCTCTAGGCAACTCAAGACTCTTTGCTTAGTTTCTTTGCCCTAAATTAAACGATAAAATCTAATTTCTATATTTAATTATTAATTACAAAGGTAATTAATTTTGTATTTGATAATACCGAATGGGATACCAAGGTACCGATTGGGATACCGAAATATTTAGGAATTGGGATTGGGATACCAAAATTATTTAGGGATTGTAATTGGGATTAATTTTAGAGTGTAATTCGGTATTCGGGATTACAGTATTTGGTATTGAAATGCTAATACCGTACCGATTTCCACCCTACTCTCTACACACCCTGATTGCCGGCCCGGAATTCGTAGGGAGAAGCATCCAATCATCACCCCTGCGCATGGTCCATGAAACCGTACCGGAGACCGTACCGGAAAAGTCAATGATAGGGTATTTTATGACAAAACCGTGGTTTAACCGTAGTTCAACCGTTAGTACCATTAAATACCGCCTATCGGTTTAGCCTCCGATACTGGTATTTTGTGGTTGAACCGTCGGTATGGTACGGTTTAATGGATAGGGTGGTGATGGGTCGCGTTGTAGTGGACGAGAGAGTCTAATTGGGAGGATAAAATACACACTACTAGCTTATATTTCGGTATTGATCGGTATTTCTGTATATACCGATCTCAATCTCGTAATCCCTAATACCGAATAACAAATGAAATTCAATCTCAATCCCAATCCCACAAAATAATACATATGTTCGGTAATACCAAATACAGACAAATTCGATACGATATTCGGTATATACCAAATATCGGTACCAAACTTCCAGCCCTACCGGTATCTAGAGATTTTTCCAGAAATAGCACTGTTTAAAAAAAAATTCCAAAAATAGCACCCAACTCCGAAAAATTCCAAAAATAGCACCATTTTTGTAAAACCGCCACCCGGATGTGCGTTTTTCGATGAAAACGCCACTCGAAGGCGCGTTTTACGATGAAAACCGCACTGGCAGGGAGCGGGTTTGCAGATCGCACCCCCAGGGTGCGATCTGCTTTTTTTTTTTTTTTTTTTAAATCCTAACTTAGGTGGAAACTTCAAACGAACGTATCTTTATGTTCGGGTATCCGATCGTCGCGATTTTTTTTTTATTCCGCATAACTTTTTGAGATCTTGCAAGCCGAAGACTGCCAAAGGTGGTTTGGTCTCGCCTTCGTACCAAAAAATGTCGTTTGCTACCCCGAACGAGCTTTTTTCCGATTTCGTTAAACTTTGGACAACCGTAACTTTGTGCTCCAAATCCAAACGGCATGATTATTTATTTTTATTTCGCATAACTTTTTAAGGACTACAACTTTTATCATAGACATAATTTTTACTAGGAATGTATTTTCAAAACAGGAATTATTTTTGGATATACATGATTTTGGGAATAGCTTATCTTCCCTTCTCAGCAATCCACGTACATTTTGAAATTATGTCTATGATAAAAGTTGTATTTCTTAAAAATTTATGCGAAATAAAAAAAAAATTCATGACGTTTGGATTTTGGAGCACAAAGTTATGGTTGTCCAAAGTTTGACGAAATCGGAAAAAAGTTCGTTCAGGGTAGCAAACGACATTTTTTTGGACGAAGGCGAGACCAAACCACCTTTGGCAGTCTTCGGCTTGCAAGATCTCAAAAAGTTATGCGGAATAAAAAAAAAAAATCGCGACGATCGGATACCCGAACATAAAGATACGTTCGTTTGAAGTTTCCACCTAAGTTAGGATTTTTCAAAAAAAAAAAAAAACAGATCGCACCCTGGGGTGCGGTTTGCAAAAAAAAAAAAAAGCAGATCGCACCCTGGGGGTGCGATCTGCAAAACCGCTCCCTGCCAGTGCGGTTTTTATCGAAAAACGCGCCTTCGAGTGGTGTTTCCATCAAAAAACGCACATCCGGATGGCGGTTTTACAAAAATGGTGCTATTTTCGGAATTTTTCGGAGTTGGGTGCTATTTTTGGAATTTTTTTTTAAACAGTGCTATTTCTGAAAAAATCTCCTGTATGTATCTTTAGTTTAGCTGATTATAAATTGCCCAAAAAGTACCCTCAAGCCCAACACTTCTCCACTGTTGCCCACATATCTGCTCATCATCTGAAGCGTACGTGGTGAAAAAGTGCACCCTGCAGCATTTATGTTGGAAATCTCATGGGCCCCGCCTTCCCAAGATTTGCGTAGTGTATGTAACTGTGCCTCAACTACCGCATTGAAAGCTGAAGTAGAGGAACATCTTAAATCATTGCTTTGCTTCCTTAAGGGTTTTCTGCTGTAGTACTGTACTCCCTGCACCACCAATTGGAGCTCATCATCCTTAATGCTGTTCAGAATCTCTTCCTTACTTCTCCAGTCACAGCAGTATATATAGAGTAGGAGAAAAAAAGGTGGTAAGCAATGAGTTTGCGAAGCAAAGAGGCCAGGCCACCGTCCGAACCTTTCATGCTTGCCAGAACCAGCGGCGCAGTTTCCACTTCTCAGTTCTCATCGCGATAACTCCTTCCTTATGCGGTCGGTCGAGCTCGCCGTATTCGACCTCCACTTTTCTTTCTGTCTATTGAAGGGTTTCTCCCTTCTCCGTTAGATCTCCCTGCAGCACTACTGCGAGATCAGATCCAAGATCTCCAGATTCGCACAGTTGTCAATTACAGGTCTGCATTTTACCCTGCCTAACTTGAACTTGCTAGGAATCCTGTGTTGTTTATGCAAAAGCTGTCTATTTAGAAGAATGCTTGTCAAATCGATCTGCATTGTTGTTGTGTGTGTTTAGGTAGTTAGAACCTTTGCTTAATTAATACTTAGTCGGAACAATGCAAAGAGTTCAGTTACCATATCATTTCTTTGCATTGATCCTAAACTTAGAGGCATGTGAGACTATAATAAAATTTTTGTTTAGACAATACTTGTAAATGTTGACAATAAATCCTATAGTGACTTTTTTTAATGCGTCGACACAAATGTTGGAAATTGAGATACCGACACTTTTATGTATCACTACATCTGGTTAAATTAAACAATGATAATGAGAAAAAAATTCATTTTAAGCGATAGTAAAAACATTTAAGGCGATGGTTATAAATGTCGAAATAAAGCTATGTAGCAACATTGAAACATGTCGAACAATGTTGATGCCAACGCTTTTCATAAACGTCGTAAAGTTTTTTAGAGACAATTTGATTTTATTAGAGAATTTGATATGTCGTAAAAAATATATACATGGATATTTTTGTAAATGTCGCAAGATTCTAAAGTCACATTAGAGACTATTTGACATGGACATATATCTATCTCATAGTTACAACTGAGTGGTAGAGACTGAAAGGAGGAGACGGTGGGAAGAAGTGAAGCAGACTAAGTTAGAGAAAGAAAACCAGGAGATCGCGGCTAGTTCCCAATGGAGGATCTAGCCGAACTTCTCAACGGCAGACTCGACGGCTCGAGCACTAGCAGGAGACCCTACAGCGTTTTCAGGGTTGATGACGATCAAAGAAGAGGGAGCGAAAAGTACTACAGCCCCAAGCTGGTATCGATCGGCCCTTATCACCACGGAGAGGCTGGATTGATAGATATGGAGGGTGAAAAGTTTTCTTATCTCAGTCAGCTGTTGGACAGGTACGTGTTATTGTTAGTGTTTGAAAAATAACAACACCAAGACATCTTCAGTTTTCACCGTTTACAAAATTATAAATTGGAACCGTTATTATGTTTATTAAGTTACAAAATATAATCATATTGTTTATGTAGGTAGAAATTGGAACTACTAATATTTACTTACCGCTGTGTACAAAGTTGCAAATTGAAAATATTCCTATAATCATTTGTCATAATTGTTTACAGAAAGGGGAAAAAGTGATTTGGGAAGATTTGGATCATAAGATCCAAACTTAATTTATAAGGCACAGGTTAGGTTAGTAATTTGATAAAGCCAAGTTGAACTAATCAACTAACTGATGGGTTAGATATCAGGGAAAAACACAAGTTTTTCACCAAAGCAATTTAAATCCCCAACGGTCGACAACAGAGCAGAGTTGTCTTCAAAGAGGAAGGAGATGACCCAAAGCGACGTCATTCCATCATCAACAGAGTTAAAGAAACGTTCTTGGAGTGATGTCGTTTCTGGCAAAGTGCCAATCAATACCTGATCTTTATGTTTCAACATTTTACCCTTTTAAGCATGTACTTTCTTTTTCCTTACGTTTTGTCTTCTTTCTTGAATTGTAAGCAACAGCTGAACCTTGTACTGTTTTACCCAGCTATATAAGCTGGAGAGTGAAATGAGAACACCCAGGTGATTAGGGGTTTTCCAATATGAAACGTTGTTATGGTATCAGAGCCTTTCTAAACCCTACCCGCCATAAACATGGCCGACAATGTCCAAGCAGATCCAGCTGCTGAAAATGTTGTTGCAAATGCACAGCACCAGCCTGCTGTTGATCCTATGGCAGATCCCTATTACTTGCATGGTTCTGAGCAACCAGGTCTGATCTTGGTGGGTGAGAAACTTACCACCACCAACTACAATGACTGGAGCCAAGTCATGCTCAATGCTTTGGGAGCTAAGAACAAGCTGGGCTTCATCAATGGTTCCATTCCACACCCAGGAGAAAATCACCAGAATGCTTGGGCCTGGGCCTGGAACAGGAACAGGAACAATATCATAGTCCTTTCCTGGATACAGCAAGCAGTTGAAGCCAGCATCCGCAAGACCATCATGTACTGCAAAACATCTCTAGAAGCATTGAGGAGTTTGAGATCTCTCTATGGTCAGAATTGCTGAGCTCACTGAAAACCTCAGCAACCTCAAACAAGGTAGTCAATCTATCACAGAATACTATGGCAACTTTATTGCAATTCGAGATGAGTTGGATAATTATCAGCCTATTGAACATTGCACTTGTACACCCACCAGTAGAGAAACATGTGCAGCCATGAGATTAGTCTTTCAATACAAAGACACAAACTCTGTTATTCAGTTCCTAAGAGGCTTGAATGAGAATTTCTCCACGGTGAGATCTCAAGTTCTCTTTGGAGATGCTTTGCCCAACATTGATCGTGTATTTCAAAGAATGCTTCAACACGAGAGACAACAATATGGGACACAACTCAACAGGGTTCTTGTAGTGGATACAATTGAGTTTGGCAGCGCACAATTCAAGCACTCCTCAGATCAGAAGGCCTAGACCTTACTGCACTCATTGCAAGTTCCTTTGCCACACAGAGGAAACTTGCTACCACAAACATGGGTGGCCACCAGGGATGAATACCCGAACCACCAATCCTTCTGGGAAACCAATTGAATGCACCTACTGCAAGAAACCAGGACACACTGAGGAGAAGTGTTTAAGCAAACATGGATATCCCAACCCAAGGGTTCCACCAAGACCCAAACCTCAAGCTCACTCAGTTACTTCAGAAGATCTACACCAAGAGGTCAAGCTTACCAAAGCTGACTACCTGAAGTTGATGTCCCTTATGAATTACAAAGGCAATTCAAAGCCTTCCCCAAGTGTCAGTCCCTCTTTTTCAGTTGTCAGTTTCATCAACAGGCCAGTAGAATCCTCAGGTAAATTCCTGCTCTATGTGAGTGATAAATCACCACATCATTAAACTTGGATACTTGATACAGGTGCCTCTGACCACATTGTGTGCTCTCTAAGCCACCTATCCAACTCCAGACCACTTCACAACATTTATATCACTCTCCCCACAGGAGACAAAGTTCAAGCAACACATTCAGGCACAGTTTTTTGTGTTGCATGCCTAGTGTTGCATGAAGCTCTATTTGTTCCACAATTTAGCTTCAACCTTATCTCTGTCAATCAACTAACCAAAAACATATCCCTTTGCTTGACCTTCTTCTCTGATGTCTGCTTGATTCAGGATATGCAGCTGATGAGGATGACTGGTTCTGCTAAGCTATCATATGGCCTTTACCACCTAGAGACCATTGTAGATATCAATCCCTCCCACCACATCTCAGCTGCCAGCACACAGACATTTGATGTTTGGCACCATAGACTAGGACATGTCTCCCATTCCAAAGTGCCCATTTTGAAATCTTTTTATCCACAGATAGATACAAACAGTTCTATACCCTGTGATGTCTGTCATTTTGCTAGACAGAAGAGACTTCCTTTCCCTTCTAGCACTTCTGTAACTACACATGCTTTTGAACTATTGCATGTTGACATATGGGGTCCTAACCCTGTTCCCAGTTATGATGGATTCAAGTACTTTCTAATAATTGTTGATGACTTCAGTCGAATGACTTGGTTAATTCTTTTGCAAACTAAGTCTGAATGTAGGCCTAAGTTGCAAGCATTTTGTTCCTATGTTGAGAGACAATTTCAAACCAACATCAGGACAATTAGAAGTGACCAAGGTAGAGAGTTTGCCATGACAGAATTTTTTGATCAAACTGGCATTCTCCATGAACAATCATGTGTTGAGACTCCACAACAAAACAGCAAAGTGGAGAGGAAGCATCAAAACATTCTCTCTGTGGCTAGAGCCCTAAAGTTTCAATCCAATCTCCCCCCCTGCCTTTTGGGCAGATTGTGTCAAACATTCAGTCTATTTGATCAATAGGGTTCCCACAATTGTTCTGGGGAACCTCACTCCTTATGAAAAACTTCACAACCAGAAACCAGACCTTACTGACCTCAAGGTTTTTGGCTGTTTATGCTTTGCTTCTACACTTTCTAATCACATAGCCAAATTTGACTCTAGAGAAAGAAAGGGAGTTTTCATTGGTTATCAACGTGGAATTAAAGGTTACAAAATGTATGATCTTTCCGCACATGATGTTTTTGTCTCTAGAGATGTCCAATTCCATGAAACTGTGTTCCCATTTCATAACCAAAATCCAGATCATTCACCACCCTATTCTACCCCCATCTGATCCTTCTCTCTATGATGATCCTAGTCCATCCTACAACCCCCCATCACAACCTACTCTTCCTCCTCCACCAAACCCATTGGTTCAGGACACCCATTTTGACACAGATGATGAACCAGACTCACAATCCTCAACATCTCCTTCCTTCACCATCCCCACCCCCAGTACCTCAACCACCCCTAAGAAAGTCCAAAAGAGTTTCAAAACGACCTACCCACCTCTAGCAATACCATTGTAACATGCTTCAACAGACTTCTTCTATCAGTCATTCTACTCAGCTGCCACCTACAGGTATGACATCAAACCTCTCATCACTACTTGATTACTCTACTCTCTCTCCTACTCACAAAACCTTTGTCTCAAGTATCTCTTCCCTAAAGGAACCAGAAACCTATAAGGAAGCAGTTCAATTTCCAGAATGGAATGATGATGTGACAGCTGAGACTCATGCTCTAGAAGCCAACCACACTTGGGATGTGGTTGAATTACCTCCTGATAAGAAACCAGTTGGCAACAAGTGGGTTTATAAGAACAAACATCTATCAGATGGCAGTTTAGAGAGACAAAAGGCCAGACTAGTAGCCAAGGGTTACAGTCAACAAGAGGGTGTTGACTACCAGGATACCTTTGCTCCTGTAGTTAAAATGACAACCATCAGGCTATTTCTAGCCATTGCAACATCCCAGAACTAGCACATTCAGCAATTGGATGTCAACAACGCATTCCTACATGGAGACTTAGACCAGGAAGTTTCTATGAAATTGCCACCTGGTTATGTTCCTCCACCTGGTCTCAAAAACCCAGTTTGCAGACTTAAGAAATCTATCTATGGTCTCAAGCAGGCATCCAGACAATGATTCACCAAGCTTGCTGACAAATTGCACTCACAAGGATACACTGCAAGCAAGGTAGATCATTCTCTTTTCTACAAACAATATGGTACTTCCTACACCTGTATCCTGGTCTATGTTGACGATTTAGTCATTGGAGGAAATGACATCGCAGACATTGAACATTTAAAGTCATTTCTATTTTCTACGTCAAACATTCAGCATCAAGGATATGGGAGCTCTGAAATTTTTCCTGGGCATAGGGGTAGCCAGAAGCAAAAAGGGCATTCACATTTCTCAAAGGAAGTATACATTAGAAATTCTGGAAGAGGCAGACCTCCTCAATTCCAAATCTGCCACTACCCCTACGGATTACAAGCTTCATCTCTCAGCAGACCACACTAATCCCTTTCCTAATCCAGAAGCATACAGGAGATTGGTTGGCAAACTAATCTATCTCACAACTACCCGCCCAAACATCAGTTATGCAACACAACAAGTCAGCCAATACATGTCCAACCCAAGTAATTCTCATTACAAAGTAGTGATAAGGATCCTGCGTTACCTCAGGTCTGCTCCTACAAGTGGATTGTTCTTCCCAGCCAATTCCAATCTTCACTTGAAGGCCTTCAGTGACTCAGACTAGGCTGCCTGTGTCAACACCAGACACTCAGTAACTGGATACTGTGTCTACTTGGGTGATTCTCTAGTCTCGTGGAAGTGCAAGAAGCAAACAACCATCTGCCGCTCTTCCGGCGAAGCAGAGTATCGCGCATTGGCATTCACGACTTGTGAGGTACAGTGGCTCCTTTATCTTCTCAATGACTTTCAGATTCCACATCCACAGCCTGCGACCATCTACTGTGACAACCAATCAGCGATTTACATTGCTGAGAATCCCACATTCCACGAACGGACAAAGCATATCGAACTTGATTGCCACTTCGTCCGTGAGAAACTGCTCTCTAAGACCATCAAAATTCTTCATGTGTCCTCTGTCCACCAGCTCGCTGATCTATTCACGAAGCCCCTTCCTCCAACTCCTTTCAATCTGCTCCTCTCCAAGCTTGGTGTCCTCAACCTTTGCCCACCAGCTTCCTGGGAGGGGGGGGGGATATCAGGGGAAAACACAAGTTTTTCACCAAAGCAATTTAAATCCCCAACGGTCGACAACGGAGCAGAGTCGTCTTCAAAGGGGAAGGAGATGACCCAAAGCGACGTCGTTCCATCATCAACAGAGTTAAAGAAACGTTCTTGGAGCGATGTCGTTTTTGGCAAAGTGCCAGTCAATACCTGATCTTTCTGTTTCAACATTTTACCCTTTTAACCCAGTACTTTCTTTTTCCCTACGTTTTGTCTTCTTTCTTGAATTGTGAGCAACAGCTGAATCTTGTACTGTTTTACCCAGCTATATAAGATGGAGAGTGAAATGAGAACACCCAGGTGATTAGGGTTTTTCCAATCTGAAACGTTGTTATTAGATCATCGGTGTTTATTGACATATAATTGAGCAAAATCAAATCAATTGGAAACATTAAAGTTCTACTGAAATGAAAATTGTGAAACTTGGTTCAAAACTTTAATTTTTCTTCTTCACAGGACACAAATGGTTACCTATCTAACCGAGATGAAAAACTTGGAAGATAATTCGCGTAAATGCTACCAAGAGTCCATAGCATTGGATTCAGACGCTTTTGTCACGATGATGTTATTAGACGGTTGCTTTCTCGTCCAACTAACGTGCAAATACGATCGAATGCTTCAGAGACTATTAGCGAACGATGAAATCGACTATATCTTTGGTGACGAAGAGAGATTGTTCAAGGTGATACGAGATATAGTTTTGCTAGAGAATCAGCTGCCGTTCTTTGTTCTTCAGAAAATCTTCGACATGACGGACTCTGGACGAGACGGGAAAAACTTGGTCACAATGATGTCCTTCATGATCAGGCATGCCTTTGGGCGTTTGAACTTCATCCCTAGGAGGCTGTCTAGTTCTACCGAAACATACTCCCATGTATTAGGATTAACCCACTGTAATTGGTTAACCCATAAACCAAACGATTTGGTTAACCGAGATACAGTGAGGAACAACAATGCCTTCTACAAGTGGATACCGAGTGCCACCAGATTGAAGGAATTCGGAGTAGCATTCGAAAGGACGGAAGAAACAAACTTGTTCGATGCAAAGTACAAAGGTGGAGTGTTGAGAATGCCAGGCTTGATCATGAATGATGACTCGGAGACCTTGCTCAGGAATTTGATGGCGTACGAGAAGTTGAGATTACCCGAGGAGGGTTTGAAATACGCTAGCGAGTACATTCTGCTTTTGAGCTGCCTTGTGAATTCTGAGGAGGACGTCAAGTTATTGAGCAGATGTGGGATCCTTGTGAACAAATTGGACAAAACAAAGGACAAAGTTGTTCTAAGACTGATCCGACGTCTCGAGCACTCAAATTCTTGCGCGCAGGTGTGTTTCTACTCCAACATATTTGAAGAAATCAACCAACGAATCCAAAACAGACGGCACAGGTGGATGCGGGCAATCAGGAAAAACGTGTTCAAAGATCCTTGGCACGTGATTGCCTTTATGGTTGGCGTTTTGCTTTTCATGATGCAAGTTTTTCAGCTTGTCCTGCTTCCCGTTTGGCTTGGCTTCTCAAAATGAGAATAGGAACGGAGAAAGACGGTGACTTCTTCACTGCTGGCGTTTCTCCTCCTATGGCGGTGGCAGGCCTTTGGTTTGGTAAGTCAGTTATCTCAACTCTCAAATTTTTGGGTTGTAGTAGCTGCTTTCATTCATCTCTATGTCAATCCAAATATGTAATTAGCTCTATTGATATCAAGCAAGCTTTTTTCATGCATAGACTTTCTTTTTATCGATTCCTTCCTGGGTGTTCCTTTAGATTCTTCTCTAGGAGGTTTGATGTAGGGAAAATTCTCACTATTAAGGTCTATGGTTCTCCTGCTACCTATAATCATGCGGTTTTGAGTTCCGCATTGTTTAACTAAGCTATTGAACTAGAGGTCTCTGTTTGCCCTACATCTAGAGGCCTAACTAGCACTGCATTCTTTGAAATAGTGAGTTAAGTTATGTTTAATCTCAAAGATGAGATGCCTGATCCTCAAACTAATTGAACCAAAACCAATACATGCTGAACTGTATTTGCATGCCTCATTGACAGCCTTAGAATGTAGCTCGCTCTCTCTATTGTTTGTTGATCTTCTTGGTTTCGGACTAACTCTCTAACATATGACATGGGTTCTGATTTCACTTCATTCTACAGGAGTATTCACTCACAGGAGTGATGGTTCTTGCTAGGTCGTCCTATGTTTCGAACAGATTGTTATGAGTTGGGATGGTGTGTCCTAAATAGTCATGTGTTGTAAGCTGAGTACTGAGCTGCATGACTGAATATGCAATGCTGAATTTGTCGATGCGAGGAATCTGTACAGCAGGTGCAAAGTGGTGGGGTGGTAGATCCGTTTATTTTGGAGTTGTTGGATTGCATAGTGGAATGTATTAATGTAAGCGAAGGGGTCTGCTGCATCTAGGTGATCTTTCTCGGTCATGCGTAGGTGGTTATTAATGTATGAGATGGGATGCGAGGGGAGCTACTTTGCTGGTGGAGATTCTTACTATGTTGGATTTGTCACTTAATCATCAGCTGGTTTTTATTGGTGGTATAGGTAAGGACAGCCAATTTAATGGATAGTCAAACTTTTCATTTGTCACCTCATCTATTCTCAAGGTTCGACTCTTGATGGCCTAGCAATTTGACTATCTAATTCCCTTCCATATGCAGCAACATTCATCGCTTGCACTGTGTTCTCGCTCATGGGATCCTTGAGGCTTGCTCTTGCTGTCTTCCCTTAATGGTACTGTTTGTCGTCCCTGTCTTATGTTTGGGAAGATCATGAATAATTTCACTGATACATAAGCTTGAAACTTATGCCATTGCTGGTGGCATTGCAGAACAAGTGATTTCATCAATCAGAACTGTATACTCTTATGTAGCCGAACGTCAAACAGGGGAGAAGTTCAGCAATGCACTTTCAGAAGACCCTGACATTGGACATAAAGCAAAGTCTTGCCAAGGTGATTATGATGGGGTGTATTGAAATTGTTTACTTGGCTTGGGCTTTTGAGGCTTGGTTTGGTGCTTATCTGGCGACTGAAAAGGGACAAAAGGATGGGACCGGTTACTATAACAACACTCATTGTGTTGTTATAGTAACAACACTAGTCTCCAACCAATAGGAAGCTAGGGTTGTGATGACTTTTTATTAGATGAGTTGACCTAGTGTAAAATCAAAGCAGGGGTATAATTGTCATTATGAAAAATATGTTTAAATAATAAAAAATTAAAAAAAATTAAAAATAAAAAAAATAATTTTTTTTATTTTTTCGGCCCAAAAATTTGGTCGCCGGAATTCTGTCACCGGTCACCGGAAAATGGTCGCCGGTCACCGGAATATGCTTTTCGTCGCCGGAATATGCTATTTTGTCATCGGAATATGCTCACCGGCGCCGGAATATGCTTACCGGCGTCGGAATCTAGTCATCGGAGCCGGAATATGCCTATCGGCGCCGGAATCTGGTAACTGACGGTCATCGGAGTTTGGTCAACGAACTTCGTTGACCGGTCAACGGTCTTCGTTGACCGGTCAACGGTCAATGACCACCGGATGTTATGGTATGCATTGTTTTATCGTGTTTGTGGTTTGCATTAAGAAGTTTCTGGTTTGCTTTATCGTGTTTGTGGTTTGCATTGAGAAGCTTCTGGTTTGCTTTAAAAAAAATTGTGGTTTGCTTTGCGGGGTTTCTGGTTTGTTTTAATAGATTTTTGGTCTGCATTAGGACGTTTCTGGTTTGTTTTTGTGGTTTGCTTTATCGTGTTTGTGGTTTGCATTATGAGGTTTCTGGTGTGTTTTTTAAAATTCTGTGGTTTGCTTTGCGGGGTTTATGGTTTGTTTTAGTAGATTTTTGGTCTGCATTAGGACGTTTCTGGTTTGTTTTTTTTGGTTTGCTTTAACGTGTTTGTGGTTTGCGTTATGAGGTTTCTGGTGTGCTTTCAAAATATTTATGGTTTGGTTTGTGGTGTTTCTGGTTTGTTTTAGAGAATTTGTGGTATGCATTAGGGGGTTTCTGGTTTTCTTTTTTGTGGTTTTTTTTATCACGTTTGTGGTCTGCATTAGGAGGTTTCTGATGTGTTTATTAAAGACTAGTGATCTGCATACCGATAACTCCTAAATGCATATCATAAACACAATAATAAACTAAAATACATCAAAAAATGCGATTGATATACTGAGCTCTACAATTGGTCAAAACTTGGGCCCATCCGGTATCCAGAACCCCATAAACACGAGGTAAGTAATGGAGTATACGGTATACATAGAAGGCATTGTCTTAGAGAAAAAGTGAGCAGTGTAACCTAGCTAGTTTCACAATGAGTACTGCCTCCAGCGACCAGCCGGCCAGCCAACCAAAAAAAGGAGAAAATGACAAGTCAATGCAATTTCAGAGAGACCATTCCGATTTCCACATAGCTCCTTTTTTTCATGATTAATCATAAGCAAAGCCCATATGTCTCCTTAAACACCGTGCCTAGCTGCATCTTCCCTGCGGCGACTGGACAATGATGCGTTGGATTGTTGTGCTGTGACCATCAATCCAGCCGCTGCATCTCGAGCAAGACCTGCAACAGAGACTCTTCGGAGAGGAGGAAGAAGCCGAAACCTGAAGGATCCGGATTGGGAGCGTTGATGGAGGAAGAGACGGGGACACCGGAGACTGAGATCGTGAAGTGGCCGGTGTGAGTGAATCCGAACTTCTCGAAGAGAATCATCGGCCTGGGGTCGTTGGCAATCCTTAGGATTTTGATCTCGGCGGAGACGGTGGCGATGAGAGATACGACGGCGACGAGAGCCGCGGCCAGGGCGAGGAGGGACGAACGAATTGCCGGCAACAACTTCGGCTTCAGTGACAGGTTGGATCTACAAGTCGGCGGCGAAGACTCTCACCCGCCCATCATCTTCGTGTTGATGAATCAATAGAAGCTCAATAATTCCTTCATCGACGACGACCGGCGGGGAAGAAGCAGGAACGGCGGGGAAAAAGCTGGGCGGCGTGGAAGACATGTCTCGATGGGGTGAACTGGTGAAGGAAGATGAGGTAGGGTGGGTTTGAATTTTAATTTATTTTATTATTTTCAGTATAAATTTACCCTTATACCCTTAATGAATCCTGTTGTTAGACGTTAGTATAACAACACTATGGGTGTTGTTATACTATCCGGACCCCAAAAGGATAGCTCCTTTTTTGTGGCCTCAGTGAATGTCATCATTGCAGGAATGTGAGTAAACGGGTTTCTTTTATATGATTGTATTTTGGAGCCTGTTATTGCAGTTGTCAGCTTTGGGATTCATTTCATTCATCTGTGACCCTGCAGGAGTATAATGAGTTTTTGCCTAATCTAGCATTACTCAAGCAACTCATGCTGCTACTCACACTTTTGAATTGATTGATAGAGCTCCTCAGATAGACTCAGAACACAAGAAAGGAAAGTTTTGTCTCGTGCCAGAGGGGAAGTTGTATTTAAGGACATCCATTTTTCCTACCCCTCAAAACCTGATACTGCAGTCTTAGAATGATTGAAACTTACTATTCCTTTTGGTAAGGCAATTGGTCTTGTGGGTGGCAGACAAAGCTGCAATAAATCACGAGAGCAGAACCTTGTCCCTCATTTTTCTAGGCCTTGCTGCAGTCAACTTCACCACTAGTCTCCTCCTGCAATATAGTTTTACTGGGATGGACAAAAACTTGACGAAAAGAGTGCAGGAGAAACAGCAGGGAATCTCCTGAGTTACGAGATAGGGTGGTTCGACGAAGATGAGAACACAAGTGCAGCAATTTGTGCAAGGCTAGCCACCGAAACTAACATGGTTTGGTCCTCTGTTGGTGATCAGATATCTCTGTTGGTTCAGGCATTCTTTGGACCACTCTCTGCTTATGTACTGGCACTTGTCCTCTCATGGAGGCTAGACCTTGTCATGCTCGCAATGCGACCAATAGTTGTTGGAGGATATTATTCACAGGCAGTTATGACGAAAAACATGGCAGAAAAAGCATGCAAGGCATAGAAGGAAGGAAGCCAAATAGCAAGTGAAGCTGGGTCATTAACCACAGAACCATAATTGCCTTCTCATCCCAGAAGAGAATTCTTGGCCTCTGCAAGTCCACCTTGAGAGGACCTAAAGAGTAGAGTGTTAGACATTCTTATTTGTCAGACATTGGCTCTCAATTCTTCAAGACGGCCTCAATTGCTTTAGGTTACTGGTACATTGGGAGGCTTCTGACGGAGGGGCTGATTGTAGCCAACAGCTCTTTCTTCCAATCATATCTTGCAGTTGTCTTCTCTGCTCATGTAATAGAAGACGCTGGAAGTATGACCAGTGACATATCCCAAGGCAGGACTGCAGTTCATGCTGTGTACAAGATCATGGACAGAGAGCTCCCAGAAATCGTCCTCTAAAAAGGAGTTCAAAGACGTCTTCTTCGAGTATCCAACACGACCGGACTCGATGATATTGAAGGGCCTTGACCTGAAGATTGAAACAGGAAAGGCCGTAGCACTTGTTTGGCCAAGTGGGTCGGGGAAATCGACAATCGTTGCTATCATTGAGAGGTTCTAAGACCCTTTGATGGCCAGAACATAAAGAGCTACAACCTGAGATGGCTGAGATCTCATTGCATTGGTGAGTCAGGAGCCAAGCTTGTTTGCAGGAACTATCCGAGAAAAGATTGCTTACGGTAAGCAGGATGCACAAAAATCAAAGAGAGAAATTCTGCATCTCTTACCAATCATGAAATTTTCAGGTGAACATAATCTTACTGTCTAAATCCCAGTTTTGAGTAATTCTGTTTACAGCTCCACAAAACTCAGGCTTCTGATGATAATGCATATACTTTTGGTATGGTTTAGCAGATTGGTGAGTCAGGAACCAAAAGCTTGTTTGCAGGAACTATCCTATAAAACATTGCATACGGTAAGCAGGATGCACAAGAATCAAAGATAAAAATTCTGTATCTCTTGCCAATCATGAATTTTTCAGGTGAACATAATCTTACTGTCTAAATCCCAGTTTTGAGTAATTCTGTTTACAGCTCCACAAACCTCAGGCTTCTGATGCTAATGCATATGTTTTTGGTATGGTGCAGCAGATTGGTGAGTCAGGAACCAAAAGCTTGTTTGCAGGAACTATCCGATAAAACATTGCATACGGTAAGCAGGATGCACAAGAATCGAAGATAAAAATTCTGCGTCTCTTGCCAATCATGAATTTTTTTCAGGTGAACATAATCTTACTGTCTAAATCTCAGTTTTGAGTAATTCTGTTTACAGCTCCACAAACCTCAGGCTTCTGATGATGATGCATACATTGTTGGTAACTTGGTATGGTGCAGCAGATTGAGCGAGGGGTATGGCACATATTGTGGAGAAAGACGAGTTCAGTTATCTGGCAGCCAGAAACAAAGTAAAAGGGAGCAATTGCCCGAGCCATACCGAAGAATCCAAAAGTCCTGCTGGTGGCTCACCAGCTCTCTTCAGAATTCCGACACCATTGCAGTGATCAAGAATGGCCAAGTTGCAGAGGAAGTATGACACAATGAAATCATGTCGTTAGGAAAGGAAGGAGTTTTAGTCTCTCATCATTCGACAGGACCAGGATATGCATATTCAAGCTCACCAAGATCTTTCATCAAAAACATTTCCCTAACTATGCCTTGGTGACCTCTAGCCTGAGAATGTCCCTTACAATGATCAGTATCTCATCCTCACATAAAATCAGGAATGTAGTGTTATTCACAATTAGTTTGTTGTAAACATGAGGCTTTTTCTAGTTCTTGATGATCCTTAAAGTCTTATATGGCTTTAATCAAATCAAAGATTCCAACTTCAAAAAGGCTGTTACACTCCATTATCATTCGTGTCACTCGTTTTCTTGAAGACTCATTTACACCCTATGAGTTTCACCTTAAAGGAGGATCAACAAAGTCTGTAACTTCGTTGATTTCCTGAATTCGTTTTAGGATTCATGACCTACAACTAGTTCTCTGAGTCACTTTTTCTTATGTGATAGGAAGACGAGACAAAGATCGAAAGATAAGAGGGTTTAAACATCCCGAACGGAGAAAGACGAAATACGAAAAAAAACAAAATAGCATGGATGGAATTCGACTTATGGATCGGAAAAGTGCGAGAAGACTACAGAAGTGATGGATTAAGCCACTTTCTAAAAATGTAGGAAAATTCCTGAAATAATGAATGAAATTTACATATATTGCTCATCGAATATATCCTGATTGCTCAAACATAATTAAAAAAAACTCTGATAATATTTATGATTTCATTTCCAATAGCAAAGCCTCAAAGAAGAGAGCTCAAAACAATTATATCTCATCTTCACCGTAGAAGCACCTAACTAACCTCCTACAAAATACCCCACTCCAATTATACAATCCTTTTGACAATCGAGAGGGGAGAGAGATAAGTGAAGTTGCAGACCTGTAACTTATTGATTTGAGGAAGAAAAACTATTAGATTTGTTAATGCGAAAACAAAAAAACACGACACACAAAAATGGTTCTTCTCATTCAGTGTAAATGAGTTTACTCCACGAAGAAATGACGCTATCTCTGCTTATTTCCCTTGTACACAGCCAAGGTTGTCAACCCGCGAGTTGACCCGTGGGTCGACCCATTTTGACCCTGACTCGGTGAGAAAAACGGGCTGCACGCACCCCTCGGATCGATCGCTGCAAGGTACCGGGTTGAAGGTCAAATTGTGTCAAATTTTTCTTTGGTTGTGAAATGCGCCTATTTTCCGATTTTTCTTTCGTCTAACTCAATCTTTGGAATCCTAAGTTGAATATTTGAATATTGATGTTATATAAGTGTGAGTGAATTTTCACTTAATGCTGGATCTAAGTACGATATGTTATTTTGGTGTAATATTATATGTTATAACTCATATGTCAGATAAGATTTGATATAATTTATAAGGATAAGTACAATATAATGACTCTTTCCATATTTCCGGACCAAACCGAACTAAAACGGTTGACCCATTAACCCTTGACCCACTAACTCGACCGGATCCGGGTCAAAACGGCATCATGTAATCGGCTGTGTACAAGGTTGTCAACCCGCGTTATATAAACGGCATCATGTAATCGGCTGTGTACAAGGTTGTCAAGGGTTGACAACCTTGTACACAGCCGATTACATGATGCCGTTTATATAACGCTAATCAACCAAACTCTGCGCGGGTTGACAACCTTGTACACAGCCGATTACATGATGCCGTTTATATAACCCTAATCAACCAAACTCTGCGGGTTGACAACCTTGTACACAGCCGATTACATGATGCCGTTTATATAACCCTAATCAACCAAACTCTTAAGTCCTATGGTTACACGAGCTGCAGCCAGCAAAGGAAAAGCCATCAATACCCTTCCCTGCCCTAAACGACCATTTTTCCGCATGTAGAAAAGGAATAAATCAATCAATCAAATTCCGGGAAGCTTCATTGGAATTGTTACAAAAACAGAGTTGGTAGGGAGAGAGGAAAAAAAATTGAGAAAAGACAATCATATATTGATTCCAAACAAAGATAGTTACATCTTGGACAGTAATCAGATCCGAAAATCAAAAAAACGACTCATAATCGGGTATAAAGAGGACTTTTCTAGCCAATAGGGAGAGAAAATCTTACCTTCCTCTTCGTGGAAGAAAGCTACACTCACAACAATCAATAATAACTATTAATTTATTATTATAAACGTAAAAATTGAGCCTAAATGAGCACAATAAAACATTTGGCCGTTACAAGGAACAAAGCAACATCAGTTTTTTTTATTCTTCCAAATTTATTTGTGTAATACCGTCATAATAGCTAGCTTTACATTTATTTCATAGTAGTGACTCTTAAGATCAAGTTCTTAGGACAAAATTTGCCCCCAACAACATTCAGTCCCATGCATAGGCTTTAGAAAAAGCAAGACCATTTGAGCTAAAATAAATCCCATCATCCCTAACCGACCAATAACAATGCCTCCGCGGTCCGATGCATGCTTTCTCGTCTCTTCTAGCAATGAACGCATACCAATCCTTCTTCTTCTGTCCGTAACTTGAGAAACACTCGAATTTGGTGCTGTGAGTGACATTCACTTCAAACTGCCATGTCTGCGATGTGCCCGGAGCTAGAGACCTTTGACCCAGATCGTTATCAGACGAATAACAATGATTGGATAATGTACCGCTTGTCAGATCGTTTTTGACATCCACGTGATAATATGCCAGCAAACGATCAGATTGAGCGCTAGTTGTTGACAACAATAAGCTTATTGTGAACATGAATGTAGTAACCCACAAACTCATAACACTCACTCTCATGTTTAGCTTTTTTTTTTTTTTTTTGTGTGTGTGGATTGTTGTGATGGTCATAGATGAAGATTGTTTATATAGTTGATTCACCATCTTAGAAAGGGAACAAGGTTTTAATAGGGGAAGACAAAGGCAACGTACATAGTTATATCTTTGTAGGCGTTTGTATTCCAACAGATTGGACAAATATTTACACTTAGGATTTTGCTTTTCTTGTTGAAAAAAGAAAGAATGTCTCTACAATGTTCTTTTGTTAGATAAGAGGAATAAATTCAAATGCATATATATGTGTAAGAAAGGCTAACACATCAATATTTTGGGAGATATACACACTTGACAAATATGGTTAGGTATCTTGGCATTTTCTTCCGGTTATAGTCATTGAAGACAATAGTTTGTTTTAGTCGATGTAGTTATTATTCTATATATTTATTGATTGTATAGTATATGTATCTTTTCTGTTGAGAGGAATAAAAGCAAAGTGTAACTATCTGTATCGGAATGAATACCCCTTTTGAAAGAAAAGAAAAATCCAAATTTGTGAGAATATGCATGAACATCACTATTCTTGAATCTAATGAAGTGTGATTTAATGCGATTAATGTCGATTGCCCATATCCATATGTTGTCTATAACGTCATAACACATATAGAAAAATATGATTCTAACTAATTTCATGTTTTGTTTCTAGATTATGTTATTGGAATTAGTTTGTAGCATGTGTTTGAGAGTATTGGGTAAAGAAGTTGATGAGACCAAAGGTATTGGGTTAGTTGTAGGGTTACGTTGCATGGGTTGGGGGTTTAGTGGGTCTAGCATGTTAGTAGTTAAGGGGTTAGTAGGGATACGTGGGTTATTAGTGAATGGGCTTGGGTTTGGTGGCCGAGTGGTCTATGGTAATTAGTAGGATTTGAGTTAGCTAGGGCTACGTATTAGGTTTAGTCGTCTATATATTGTAAGTTCGGCATTAGTCCGGATTATCGAATAATATAACTAAAGGTTTATCGACGTCCAAGTCGTTCTCCCGTTCGTGAGTTACAAGCAAACCCTTGGAACGTGGGTTACGTTTCCATCAGAAGTTAATTCATATTTTCTATTTGTAATTTGTTTTTAGTTTGTGTGGTTGGTGATCACATTTTTAAGCCGCCCTCGAGTATTATGACGAGATTTGAGTGGTGGATGTTTGTCAAACCCTGAAGAGAGTCATTGGACTATTGTAAATGTGGGTAAAAGTTTGTAACCACCCCTTTCAACATCTGATATCGCCTCATACATCACTATATAGTGATCTAATAAATATTTTCCGTTTCACAATATTCATGGATGTTAAATTTTTTATCGTTTTGAGTCTTAACTACAGAACATGTCATTCTGTTATTGGATTCCAACATAGTATAACCACACACCTTAATGCGCAATCCAAAAAATGTCATTACTTTGCCCATGTTACATCTCTGAACAAGATAAATCATCAACAATAATAGACAATGTTGAAAATAAATCAAGGATATGAGACTTTTCGATAAAACATATTCACACAAGAAAACATAATACATAGAGAAAATAAGGAGGAAGACTATGAAAAAGGTGAGGAGAAGACAAGCCAGATCTAGAGCAGATCTAGCCTCCTTGTTCTAGCCTTGCAGATCTTGGTGGTTCGGAGATGATGCCCATGGCGACGGACGTGGCTTTGGAGAGCTTGAAGACAGAAGATCGTCTTCCCTCTGTTTTCCTCCGCCACCGACCAATTGAGTTTGTTTGGTTTCCCCTGGGTTGGGCTCGGCGGGAGGCTGACGGTTTGTTTGGCTCGGGGTGGTGCGTTTGTAGATCTGTCTTTTTCTCCCTAACATCTGAGTTTGGATGGAACTCGCTACTTGGCTCGACGATTGGAGGCGATGTCATGGCGATGTTGCCTGGTTCGGGTGAGCGGCGGCGGCGGCAATTTCGGCCACGGCAGCGGGGATCACAGAGGGGGCAATTGGCGGCTAGGGTTGGAGGATTAGAGGAATGTTTTGGGTCCTGGGCTTAGGGCTCTATTGAGTTCCGGGCTTTGTTTGGGCCTGTTTTCTTCTATTTTTTCAGCCTTGATTGTTTAATTGTTGTATCTTTTCCTTTGGACCTGGCCCGCTGCATTCTTAATGAGATCCAACTTTCAAAAAAAAAAAAAGAGAAAATAAGAATTAAAATAGAGGGTAAATGTCACATTTGGTCACTGAGATTACTAAATCGTGTCATGTTTCGACACTAAAAAATTTAATATCAATTTTTGGTCAATTAAATTGCTGAAACAGGTCACATTTAATCACTCTCTCGTTAGTTTTTGTTAAACTTCATTAATGGAGTTTGACGTAAACTAATGGGAGAGTGACTAAATGTGACATATTTCAGTAATTCGAGTGACCGAAGTTGGACGGGGACTAATAGGAGAGTGACTAAATGTGACCTATTTCAGTAATTCGAGTGACCAAAATTGATATTAAATTTTTCTAATGACTAAACATGACACGATTTAGTAATCTCAGTGACCAAATTTGGTATTTACTCTTAAAATAGATATAACTACTCTCCCTGTATGTTAAGGACTTGCAGTCCAATCAAAGTCCAACAGAACAAACTCCTCCATTCCATTTTCTTCATTTATCACTCCAAAAAAAAATTCTTCATTGATCCATTGTTCTAACTTCGACGGCTACCTACTTTGTGATGATGTAAAATCCTAAATACACAGAAGCACCACATAATAATAATGGCGGTCATCCTTAAACCAAGGGGAAACCAAAAAATTTGTCATCCCCAAATCTCTATTACCAGCAAAAAGGTCTATTCATTCATCACCGCTCAAATAAAACCCTTTCATCGTCTTCCTCCCTTCTCCTTCCCTTTCTTCCCCCTGAAACTTTCCCCCCAATTTTCCATTCCCCCAAACACAAACCTTAATCAACACGAAATAAAAAAAAAAAACCCAAACAGAAAGGGGAACATAAATATAAACACGAAAAAAGAAATTTGAGTCAATACGTAAATCTTCTTCTTTCTTCTTCTCCATTAGCAAATCCAAGGAGTACGATGGTGCACTCCGATCCATCGGAGTATCCTTATGTTTTCCAAGATCTAGACTCAACATTCAGAGAGAGAAGTTATCGAAAGACAACCGGTAGATCCGTTAGTTTCAAATGGAGGACTTGGCGGAACTTCTAAATGGTAGAATCGACTGCTCGAGCATTAGTAGGAAACCCTACAGCATTTTCAGGGTTGATGATGATTAAAGAAGAGGGAGCAAAAGTAGGGATGGCAACAAAACCCGAACCCACGGGTACCCACCCGACCCAACTCGGTCAACGCGGGTAAAATTCGTGTTGACGGGTTTTGGGTCGGGTTCGGGTTTAAACCCGTTACACTATTCACTGGGCCGGGTTGGGTTTGGGTTTAGGTAAACCCGTCCCATGGGTACCCGCCCATACACATATAATTACTTTCCCGGTATATTTAATATTCTAAATAATATATCTTTCTTAAACAACTAATATTCTATATGTTTGTGGAGACATGTATAATTTGTTTTTTCTAATTGTTTAGAATGAAATTGACATTATGAAGTGGAGAGTGAAGAAACTTAGTTGACGAGGAAGAAACTTTTAATTAATCTTATTGTTTATATATGTTTATCTTTAATTTTGAATAATTTGTATTGATCATTTGCGTTTTGCTTGTATGCTCTAGATTGGTGTTTTTTGTATGTTTAATTTGTATGAGAAAATTGACGTTAAACTATTATTTTGAAAGAAACTTGTTATTGTAAATTTTTACCACAAAAACCCACGAGTACCCATGAACCCGCGGATACCCAGCGGGTTGGGTTGGGTTTGAGTTTTTCAGACCCAACGGGTTTTATCCTGGATTTTTTTAGCAGATAACCCATAAGTTTTGGGTTTGGGTTTGACAAAACCCGACCCAACCCGATCTATTGCCATCCCTAAGCAAAAGTACTACATTCCCGAGCTGGTATCAATCAGTGCTTATCACCATGGAGAGATTGCGCGTGATATGGAAACGAAAAAGCATTCTTATCTCAATCAGATGTTGGACATAGGTGTTGGACATGTATGTATTATCATTAGTGTTTGCAAAGTAGGATCGTTATGTATTTATGAAATTACAAAGTAGAATCATATTAGTTTTTTGGCACGTTCTTCGTAGCAGTAATAAACTAATTATATGTTTTAATCATTACAAAAGACATAGACTATATGTTTATTTGAGTGATATATCAAAAGAATTATCTCTTCATAAGCTCTATCATGTCTCGTGAGTAAATTATTATGTGAAAGAATAACTTACCTTATAGAACATTTGTGTATTGCAAATTGATGAGGTGATAAACAATTTAACTAATAATAAATGAATTTTCATTCAAATCTATCTAACTGAGATGAAAAACTTAGAAGATAAATCACGTAAATGCTATCAAGAGTCTGTAGCATTGAATTCAGATGCTTTTCTGACGATGATGTTATTAGACGACTGCTTTCTCGTCCAACTACGTGCAAATACGATCAAATGATTCAAAGACGATTATTGGACGATAAAATATATTGTATATTTGGCGATAAGAAAGGTTATTCAAGGTGATACGAGATATAGTTTTACTAGAGAATCAACTTCCGTTCTTTGTTCTTCAGAAGATCTTTGACATGAGCGACTCTGGACAAGATGGGGAAAACTTGGTCATGATGATGTCCTTCGTGATCAGACATGACTTTGGGCGCTTGAACTTTATCCCTAGGAGGTTGTCCAGGTCTGCTAAGACACACTCTCATGTATTAGGATTAGCCCATTGTAATAAACTAATTATATGTTTTAATTATTACGAAAGACATACACCATATGTTTTGTTTAAGTAATATATAAAAATAACTATCTCTCCATAAGATGTACAATGTCTCATGGTCATGATTAAACTGTTAAGTAAAAGAATAACTTACCTTACAGAATATTTGTGTATTGCAAATTGATAAGGTGATAAACAACTTAACTAATAATAAATGAATTTTCATTTAAACTTATATTTCTGGATCGTCAAGAAACATGTACGCAATATGTATTGTTTAAATATTACATAAAAACATCAAATTTTATATAATATACTTCTAATTCATTACTTTTATAGAATAGTGTGACACTAATCTTTCATATTGTGTGGTCTAATAATGAAGTCAAATTAAAAAATTCATTTTAACTTGTAATTACATTATGTTTAAATGATATATAACAATATCAAATGTTATATAACATACTTGTAATTACATAACTTTTATAGAATAGTTACGCTATGCGCTTTGTTTATATGATACATAAAACTCTGAAGAGAGTCATTGGACCATTGTAAATGTTGGTAAAAGTTAGTAACCTCCACTTTCAACATCTGACATCGCCTCATACATCACTATATAGTGATCTAATAAATATTTTCCGTTTCACAATTTCCATGGATGTTAAGTTTCACATCGTTTTATAATCAAGGATACGAAGTCCAACTACTACTACATCACCCGAGCATTTCTTAATGATATTTGTCATTGGAATTTCACTCACAAAATTATCCCTGAATATCTATGGGGTGAATATAATTCTCTCTTATATGACTCAGAATCTATAGCTGCATTACGCCCACCGTGAAGACCCGCTTCTTCATCTTGAAATTGTACCAACATGATTAGTTTTCTTCCAAGTGTGTTCACTGTCATTGTCTTTCTCCACTGAGTGTACTACATACTTATTCTCTCTTCTTTGTACTCCTAATTCATCTTCTCATTTGTTGTCACCCATTTAGTATCACATTAATAAAATCCCAAATCATTCATAAAAAAAAAAAGTTTTGCATCGTTTTGAATGTTAACTACAGAATATGTCATTCAATTATTAGATTCTAACATGACATAAACACACACCTTAAATGCGCAATCCAAATTTTTTTTTTTTTTTTTTTACAAAGGACACTGAATTTCCATTATTTGTAGCACAAGCCAGTCATTACAGTAGGGGAGCAACCACATCAAGAATCTGTAACCATTGAGATGGTAACTGGTTCCTAGCACATGATCTAGCAACCCAATTAGCCTTGGAGTTGTTCCTTCGATTGAAGTGTTGTATCTTGACCAGCGGGTTATCCTCAAGAATAAGCTTAATGAGACCCAGCCTTGCTGCCGCTCGCCATGGCCACGATTTGGGGTGGCTATGGACTGCATTCACTAGCTGCAAGCAATCAGATTTCAGCAGGCAGGGAGCTCTGAGGGAGACAACAAGCCGGGAACCCTCCAGCAGGGCCAAAGCTTCTGCTTCAAGTGGGGAAAAACAATGCATGGACTCAGCTCTACCATCACACACTTGATCATGGATGTTCGAGACAACGACGCCATATGCCGCCTTCTGGGGCTCGTCAAAGAACGAACCATCGCAGTGTACTTCAAAGTCATGAGTACCTGGCGGTGATGAAGAGTGCTCTTGGGGTGAGATGAGCTGAGAAGATGGGGGACCTGTGTTAACTTTCCTTGGGCATGTGGTCCATTGAAGATGTGTTGACGCCGCCCTCGTGATAGTTGATGGGGGCCATGGCTTTGTATCCCTGAAGATCTTCTCGTTCCTCGTTTTCCAGGTCTGCCAACCGAGGAAAATGATCTTCTGAATCGAGATGATTGGATAGCTCTGTCGAAGGGAGTCCAGCCATTCCAGGAAAGATGAGAGCGGTGCAGGCCGAGGCAGAGAGGGCCATTCTTGGTTCCATCCCTCCGCCACGTGAGGGCATGTAAATAAGCAGTGGTGGATCGATTCAGTTGGGAAGTCACAAATCTGGCAGACCTTTGAGATGGCGCACTTCCTCGCAAACAGATTCTCTTTTGAAGCCATAGCCCCTCTGGTCACCTTCCAAACGAAAAATTTAAGCTTCGGGGGGATAGAGAGACTCCATAGCCACTTCCATCTTTGTCTGCTTGCCTCTGAAAAATCCTCGGCTTCTCCTTGGTCATGTCTGGTATGATTATGAAACTGGGTGAAGGCTGATTTAACCGTGAAATTTCCTTGTTCAGTGAACCTCCAAGCCCAGAATTCCTCCAGCGACTCAGGCCCAATAGGGATGGCTGCCACCTGCTTCAGATCATGTTGGCTAAGGAAGTCAGCTAACAAGTCGAACTTCCATTCCCTCGAAACCTCATCGATCCAACTGTCTGCGGTAGAGTTGTCGTTCCAATCGAACTAGAGGAGGGGGCCTGCCCTGTCGAATCTCCAGGGGTCTTGGAAGATCCTCGTTGTTTTGCCATTGCCAATCACTCGGATCAGCCCTTGTCGCATCCAAACTTTCGCTTCACACAAACTTGACCAAATCCAAGAGGCTTTGCCACCTTTTTTTGCATTTAGGAAGTCCGAGTTGGGGAAATAAATACTTTTTAGTACCTTAACCCACAAGGCATCCTTGTTGGTGAGGATTCTCCAAGCTTGTTTGGCCAATAGTGCCAAGTTGAAAGTATGGAAAGGCCGAAAACCGAGCCCCCCCCCCCTCCTCTTTTGGGGCATACAAAACATGTCCAGCCCTCCAATGAATCGTTCTCTTCGTCATAGACCCTCCCCAAAAGAAATTTTTGAGCATGGAGTCCATTTTCTTCGTTGTACTCTTTGGAAGTAGGGACAGGCTCATGATGTAGGATGGAACCGCTTGGAACACCGCTTTGAGCAAAACTTCTTTCCCTCCCGGGGACAGGAGGAGGCTTTTCCAAGCTTCCCCTTTAGATTCCATGCGTTGGAGGAGGAAATTAAAGGTTTCTCTCTTTGATCTGCCCCATTCGGTCGGCACTCCCAGATAGTTGGAGTGGCAGTTAGTGGGTGCAAACCCAGTTTCAAGGACAATCCTGCCCTGCTCTTCACTTGAAACGTTGCAGCTGAAGAAAATGGATGACTTATTTCTATTCACTTCTTGACCAGTGACCGCTCCATAGTCTTGGAGAATATCCAGAATCTTTCCTGCCTCTTCGCAGGAAGCATCCCCAAAGATGACCGTGTCATCAGCAAACAGGCAGTGGGACAGTGTAGGGCAGTACCTGTTAAGCTTAATGCCCTTGATCCCATTGTTCAGGACAGCTTTTTTAATCAGGAAGGAAAGTGCATTCGACATCAGGATAAAAAGGAGGGGTGAGAGGGGGTCCCCTTGTCGAATGCCTCTAGAGGGCTTGAACTCATTGGATGGTTCACCATTCAGCAGCAGATTAAAGGTGACCGTGGTAATGCAGGAGTAAACCCAACCACACCAGACCTCATTGAAGCCATACGCCCTCAGAAGAGAGATTAGGAGATCCCATTCCACCAGATCGTATGCTTTCTTCATGTCAAGCTTCATCATCATCTCCCTTCTATTACCTGATTTATGTTTCTTGAAGTGGTTAAGTACCTCGTGGACAATGATGATATTATCTTGGATTTGTCTTCCCCCTGTGAAGGCCGATTGGAGTTCATTGACCAGCTCAGGCAGCAGAGGTTGGAGCCTGTTTGTCATAATTTTGGTGATGACCTTGTACCTAAAATTACAGCAGCTAATCGGCCTGAACTGACTGATCAACTCCGGCGCTTCCACTTTGGGGATAATGGTGATAAAGGTCTTGTTCCAATTCTCAGGCATAACACCTGTCAGGAAAAAATTTGTGATTTCGTGGCAAAAGGAGTCCCCTATGGTGTTCCAGTACTTCCTGAAGAATAGGCCCGGGAAGCCATCGGGCCCAGGAGCCTTGCTAGCTCCAAGCTGAAACACTGCCTTACGAATCTCTTCCTTCCCCACCGGAGCACATAAGACGTTATTGAACTCCTCTGTCACCAAACTGGGGAATCCCTCGAGGATTCTCGGGTCACACATTTTGTTATTGCTGGTGAAAAGGTTGCGATAGTACCCTGTGGCATGATCTTTCAAGTCCTGAGCATTGTCAATCCATAATCCTCCTGCATCTTGGAGCTTGACTATGCGATTTCTGTTCTTCCTTCTGATAGTACTGGCATGAAAAAAGCCTGAATTCTGATCCCCTTCCTGCAGCCAAGAGATTCTCGATCTCTGTAACCAAAAACTCTCTTCCGAGGTCCAGATGGACTCGAGTTCTTGATGGAGGTTCCTTTCTTCAGAAGCCTTATCAGGGGAGCCACTTGCTCCTTGTAAAACTTGTAGTCTCTGCCGAATTTCTCTTTCTCGTTTCAATTTTGCTCGTCTGTCTGTCCTGGCCCAGTTCTGTAATTGATTCTGGCAATCCATCAGCATATAGTATCGATATTTCCGCCTTTCATCCATCGATCAATAACTATTTGACAGCACTCTTCACTCTCCCTCCATCTTTTGTCGAATCTGAAAGGAGTACAGTGAGCTTGACTTGCTGGATGAAGGTCAATCCTAATTGGGCAGTGGTCCGATTCCACGAAGTCTTCGTGGTAAACCGTGGCCGCCTCAAACTTGATTCTCCAAGAGGTCGAACAAATAGCTCGGTCAAGCCTTTCTCTAATCAGATCATCCCCTTGTTGCTTGTTACTCCAAGTAAAAACTTGGCCAGAGAAACCAAGGTCAACCAATGCATTCCGAGTCATGAAATATTTAAAAGGAGAGACATTCTCATTCCTTAAGGGGCACCTCCCTTGCTTCTCAAGAGGGAAAACAGCAACGTTGAGGTCTCCTACCACCAGCCACCTATCTTTCTGGTTCTCCCTTAGGGTCGTAAGTCGATCCCATAGGAGTCTTCTCTCTACCGTCGTGGTAGGAGCGTGAACAAAAGTGCAGAAAAAACTAACCCCATCCTTGCTAATACTGGTGTCCATGAAGGACTTACAAGAGTCTAACACACTAACAACAACATCTTCTTTCCACCATAGGGCGAGGCCACTGCCTTCCCTCTCTGGACCGACATACTCAGAGTGATCAAACTTCATAACTTTTCTCCTTGCTTCCATAAACGAATCCTCCTTCCTTGTTTCCATGAGAAAGAGAACCGAGGGGCCAAATGGACGGCACAGCTTGCCGCATTTACTCCTTGTAAGGGGTTGGCCGAACCCCCTACAATTCCAGCTGAGGATTCTCATTCGAGATGTGGCGGCTTGAGGCTTGCCGCCGTCGCCCTCGGAGTAGTTGATTCCCCTTCTCCGGATTGGCATCCTTCCGCCGTGATCTCCGCTAAGCTTTTCCTCCTGACAATGTGCTTCCTTCGCTGGTAGGTACGCTTACTTTCCCCTGGGACAAAAGACAAAGAACTGAAGGAAATGTTAGATGGTGCCTCCTGTTGTGGTGATGATGCCGCGGGACTGCTTCTGTGTTCAGGCTTCCTCTTCTTCTCTGGTCTGGGCGGGTCCACATTACTTTGCCCATTTTACATCTCTGAACAAGATAAATAATCAACAATAACAAACAATGTTGAAAATAAATGAAGGATATGAGATTTTCCATAAAACCTATTCACCAAAAAAAAAACTAACTACTCTCCCTATCTGTTATAGACCTGCATTCCAATCAAAGTCCAAACAGAACAAACTCCTCCATTCCATTTTCTTCATTGATCCATTGTTCTAACTTCGACGGCTACCTACTTTGTGATTATGTAAATCCTAAATACACAGAAGCACCACATAATAATAATGGCGGTCATCCTTAAACCAAGGGAAACCAAAAATTTTGTCATCCCCAAATCTCTATTACCAGCAAAAAAGTCTATTCATTCATCACCGCTCAAATAAAACCCTTTCATCGTCTTCCTCCCTTCTCCTTCCCTTTCTTCCCCCTGAAAACTTTCCCCCCAATTTTCCATTCCCCCAAACACAAACCTTAATCAACACGAAATAAAAAAAAAAACCCCAAACAAAAAGGGGAACAAAAATATAAACACGAAAAAGGAAATTTGAAAAAGGGGGGAAAATGTACAGAAGGAAGTAGGGGGGAAATTAATCAAACACGAACACACAATGACAACTCGCAGCAACAATCTTCTTCGCTCTCGTGATTCCTTCTAACGTGAATGGCAACCTTGAGGTCAAAAGACAAATCATCGTCACAATCCCCGTCCCCCGCCGGCGCCCGTCCGCCTCAGAGTAATGCCCGCCGCCGCACATCTCGCGACGACGACGACCTAGACATGCCCGGAAGCCACAACAACTACACCGTCATGATGCCGCCGACGCCCGACAACCAACCGGGATCCAAGTCCGACAACAAGCCCGACGGCCCAAGCCCACACTCTGGCTCCCGCTTCGGGGCTCGGCCCACACCCGGGCCCAAGATGGACCGCCGGATGTCGATCATGACGTCCACCAACAACAACAAATCGATGCTGCTTCGGACCCAGACCGGCGATTTCGACCACAACCGATGGTTGTTCGAGACCAAAGGGACGTACGGCGTCGGGAACGCGTACTGGACCGACGACGGCCGCGATGGGCCCGATATTGGGCTCAGCATGTCGGATTTCATGGACAAGCCGTGGAAGCCATTGACCAGGAAGGTCAAAGTTCCCCCGGGAACTCTCAGCCCGTACAGGGTGTTGATCGTGATTCGATTGGTTGTTCTCTTCTTCTTCCTCGGATGGCGACTCCAGAATCCCAACAGGGAAGCAATGTGGCTGTGGGGAGTTTCTGTTGTTTGCGAGCTCTGGTTCGCCTTCTCCTGGCTTCTCGACATTCTCCCCAAATTCAACCCAATCAATCGGGCCACCGACCTGGCCGCTTTGAAGGACAAGTTCGAGCAGCCCTCCCCTTCCAACCCAACCGGCCGGTCCGACCTACCCGGAGTCGATGTCTTCGTCTCGACCGCCGACCCGGAGAAGGAACCGCCCTTGGTCACCGCCAATACCATGCTCTCCATTCTCGCTGCTGAGTACCCGATCGAGAAACTCGCCGCCTATATCTCCGACGACGGTGGCGCCATTCTCACCTTCGAGGCCATGGCGGAAGCCGTTCGCTTTGCTGAGGTCTCGAACAATTGTAAACACACATTATCGAATTGAATGGGAAGCAAGCAAACCCTAGCTCTTCTGAAAATCAATTTTGTTTTTACCTGTTGTTGCAGATATGGGTTCCGTTCTGCCGCAAGCACAACATAGAACCGAGAAATCCGGACAGCTACTTCAATTTGAAAACGGACCCGACGAAGAACAAGAAGCTGCACGATTTCGTTCGCGATCGGCGGTGGATCAAGAGGGAATACGACGAGTTCAAGGTGAGAATCAACGGCCTCCCCGAGGTGATTCGCAAGCGGTGCGATGCGCTGAATAGGAGGGAAGAGAGGAAGGAGAAAGCGATCGCCAGGGAGAAGAACGGCGGCACGCTCCCGCCGGAAGGTGTGACGGTGCAGAAGGCGACGTGGATGGCCGACGGGACTCACTGGCCGGGGACGTGGTGGCAGTCGGCTCCGGATCACGGCAAAGGCGATCACGCCGGGATCGTGCAGGTGATGAGCCGGGTACCCGAACCAGAACCGGTTATGGGCGGACCGGACGAGGACCGGATCAATTTCACCGGAGTCGACATCAGGGTCCCGATGTTTGTCTACGTCTCCCGTGAGAAGAGGGCCGGTTATGACCACAACAAGAAGGCCGGAGCCATGAACGCCATGGTTCGTGCCTCGGCCGTGCTGTCCAATGGACCCTTCATTCTCAACTTGGATTGTGATCACTACTTTTACAACTCTCTCGCGATAAGAGAAGGGATGTGCTTCATGATGGATCGCGGCGGTGACAGAATCTGTTACGTACAATTTCCCCAGAGATTCGAAGGCATCGATCCGTCGGATCGATATGCGAATCACAACACGGTCTTCTTTGACGGTAAACCACTTCTTTTAAGATGGATTGATTAGCAAAAATTGCATTTCTTCTGCAAGTACATTATGTTGGCTGGTGTAATACAGGAAGCATGCGTGCGCTTGATGGACAACAAGGTCCGGTCTACGTGGGAACCGGGTGCATGTTTCGAAGATACGCATTGTACGGCTTCCTGCCGCCGAGAGCAAACGAGTACCTCGGAGTGTTTGGTCGGATAAAGAGCAGGGCTCCTAGTGCTCCCGTACACTTGGAAGATTCAGAGCCATCGACTTCTGACCACCCTGATCTCAACCTGCCCAAAGGATTTGGAAACTCCCAATTGTTCAACGAGTCCATAGCCGTGGCAGAGTACCAAGGTCGGCCGCTCGCCGATCACATCTCCGTCAAGAACGGCAGGCCTCCTGGCGCATTGCTGGCCCCTCGCCCGCCTCTCGACGCACCTACGGTCGCCGAGGCAGTTGCCGTGATTGCTTGCTGGTTAGTAATTGATAGTTAGTTTGTTGGTTTACTGTTTCCAAGTGATTTCTTGAGCAAGAAGGAACTAAGGTTTGCATCTTGGGTGGTGGTGGTGACGCAGGTACGAGGACAAGACGGAATGGGGTGATAAGATAGGTTGGATCTACGGATCGGTGACGGAAGATGTGGTGACAGGCTACAGAATGCACAATAGAGGGTGGCGATCCGTCTACTGCGTGACGAAGCGCGATGCCTTCCGTGGCACGGCACCGATCAATCTCACGGACAGGCTGCACCAGGTGCTCCGATGGGCGACGGGGTCGATCGAGATCTTCTTCTCGAAAAACAACCCGCTGCTGGCGAGCAGGAGGCTCAAATTCCTGCAGCGGATAGCCTACCTCAACGTCGGCTTCTACCCCTTCACGTCGGTGATCCTGGTGGTCTACTGCTTCCTTCCAGCTTGGTGCCTCTTCACCGGAAGCTTCATCGTGCAGTCGCTCAACGTGGCGTTCCTCTGCTACCTCCTCGTCATCACGGTGACGCTGACTCTGCTCTCCCTCCTGGAAGTGAAGTGGTCGGGGATCGAGCTGGAGGAGCTCTGGAGGAACGAGCAGTTTTGGGTCATCGGTGGCACCAGCGCACATCTCGCTGCTGTGATCCAGGGGCTGCTCAAAGTGATAGCTGGGATAGAGATCTCCTTCACGCTGACCTCGAAATCGGCGGGGGAGGACGAGGAGGACATTTATGCCGATCTCTACGTGGTGAAATGGACCAGTCTGTTCATAGTGCCACTCACCATCATTGTAGTGAACCTCATGGCAGTTGTGATCGGCATGTCGAGGACTTTGTACAGCGTGATACCTCAGTGGGGGAAGCTCTTTGGAGGGCTCTTCTTCAGCTTCTGGGTCATTGCTCACATGTACCCTTTCATCAAAGGGTTGCTTGGAAGGAGAGGAAGAGTGCCGACCATCGTCTACGTGTGGTCGGGTATCCTTTCCACGACGATATCTTTGCTCTGGATATCAATCAGCCCTCCCAGTGATAGCACCTCTACTGGAAGCATTACCATATAACCAACTGTTCAAGCAAAAACACACACTGTAGACAAAGAAAACTGGTGTAGATACTTCTAGATTGTTCTTCCCGCGGTGTTAGCACGAGAAGGGATCTTTCTTTTTGACCTTTTTTACCACCCCTTTTCGGTGGCTGTCAATATATTTTTCCATGGACATACTGTAACAAAATGTACAATGCATAGAGATTACTCAATGTAAATAGCTACAATTTGCAGAAGGGTTGAACTCTTCTAGTTACAAGGCCCTAACCAGGTGATGAAAAAGGGAGCGAAGTGTTTCTTCCTACTATCAACAGTAAGACAAGCAGTTAACTTAAGCATACATGACGAGAAAAAGGATAGTTTTGAAGATATGCAGTACTTTCTATGGCATGACTTGACACCCAAGTGCACTGTTACCTCTAAAGCATTAGCACAAAGGTTGGATCAATTCAGAAACTCCCGCATTTTCACTGGTCTTTTAACAGCATTGGTGAAGCCCTGTAATCACGAGAGGAATGTGGAGAGTGTTAGTGCAGGCTGAATACAATCAAGACATCATTCTTACCACAACCTTTCAAATTCGAGCCTTTAATATTTTCAGTTCCAGAAATATGAGCCTTTTCTAGCTTTGGCATCCAGTCGATGGATGTAAGGACTAACTGAATTGACATGCTCTAGAGGTATACCTCATTATACTTAAATAGGACTGGTCGTGAATCTCTTTCCAATGTAGCAGCTTTGCGGTCCACAGTCTCGGATTTCTGAGAACCTCTGCTACCTCCTTTCCTGAACCTGTTTTGACAGCAAAAACGCATAGATCAGCAATTAAGTCGCCATGACCCATGAATACTTCAAATTTGGACATCAATTTAAGTTTTAATCATTCACATGCCAATAAGTGATAATCTGCTACTTTAAGAGTGAGTATTGAGAAAGTACTGATATCAGTTTCCCGTACCTGTCAAAGAAGTTGGCAGCGCTGCTGGAACTCTTCTTTGGGTTCCCACTACTATTTAACTTTGCATTAGGCACAGAAATGTGACTTGCTTCCACGCTGGACGACATAGCTAATGAAATTGGGATGCTCACTCCTTTCTTCCCTTTTTCTCCATTGGCAGCAGAAGCTCCTGTCTGTTTCATAATGCTGGAGGGATCTTTAAGGTTCCCTCTTTCTCTCATTTCAAGGTTTGCTTCATTGTGCACTTCAGCATCATGTGTGGATTTGCTGACTTGCAAAATCCTTCGCTTCTCAACCTGAATTTTTATATACTCACCAAATTAAAAACAAGTTTAAAATATGGTGGCCTGTGGACTATACACATAAAAAAATATCCCTCCATTCTATCTTAATCAAATAATCCCGACAAGTTCAGCTCCCTAGGAATAGCAGTCACAACTTCAAAAGCAATTTAAGTTGGCTGAGGACATACTGTCTTCTTCATTGTGCTGTATATATCAGATGTCTGACGTTAAGGTGTTCAACAAAGATATGGGAAATAGACATGATATTTCTTCTTTTCTTATAAAGAAGGAGAATGAATTTTATCTCACCTCGTGAACCAAAACTTGCTTCAAGGCCAAGGGAAGTGTATTACGAGCATATGCATTGCCCTATTAAGTGCAAAGAACACGAGTGAGAATAGATTTCTAAGAGGCATCTGGTTACACATCCAAGCCAATGTTTAACGAACAAGCTGGACCTTGAAATTGATAAACTCTGTAATGGGAGGATCAAAAGAAAGCGTGGATGCATCTGCAGCTGCTTCTTGCTCAGGCTTACTGGAGAGAAGATTGGGCCTCGCATTCTTATATGTGACGGAGTAAGACACCATCGTGTTAACTAACTGGTCCATATCATTCTTTTCTTTTTCAGATAGCAAGTGCAATGATACCTAAGAAAGAACACCAAAGCTATTACTACAGAAAATTTTGTCTTGTCAGATAACATCAAACCCAAATATACACTTGGGTGAAGACCACTAACCGGTCTTATAGTTGAGGGTGATAGAATATGCAACAAGAAAGAAATTGAATCTTCAGCAAATGACTTGGTTGATAAATGTCGAGATATATGTGGTGGAATTTTTCTCTGCCAAGCCCTCAACAGTTCTACTTTCTCTGTCAACATAGTTCGATACCTGAAGTTTTACAAAATTGATCACTAGTGACAATCAAATACGAAAGGTATAATGCAAGACCTTAACTGATTCAGAGATAAACGCAGACATAGACCTTTGATAAGATTTTGGCCACTCAATATTTGGTCTTTGGACTTGTGCCACAATACGATGTACAGTTACTGCTAGAGGAGCCTGATAAACTGCAAAAATGAGAAATATGGAAACAGAATGTAAGAAGCTTGTAAAGCTGATCCGCTTTTGCTGGGAAGCCTAAAATAGCAAAACGGAAGTTTGTTGAGTTACCATAGAGAGGCATTTGCAGTGTTCGCATAATGTATTGATGTATTACATCAAAAACACCAAGACTATTCATGCACTTGACCTTCAATTACAAATCAACATCTCATGTAACTGCAGTAGCTAAGGAATAATGTAATTCAAAAAATCACCATCTGGAAGAGAAATAGGATAAGGCTTACTGTCTTCTGCATAACTGGATCATGATATTGAAGATGCAGTAGGTTCTCATGAATACCATCCATAATCGTATCGAAGTCTCCACTGCACATTAAACCCACCATCTTATAAGAAGAGAGGAACTGGTTGGAGAGCAAGGTAAGAAATGTACTAGCAGTACCCTACCGATTGGACAGCCGCGAATTCAGAAAATCAAAGTCATCAGATGTACTGGTACAGCTACTCGCATATCTTCTTTCCACCTTCAATTTTCTCTTTTGAAATATCTGCAGAAAGGGTGGCAAAACTATAAAAAAAAAATACTGGAAATATATTTGTACCAAAAAGCAGTACTTAGTCGGAACTAGTCTGAGTCACCTCTTTCCAGATATCAAAGACACCTTTATACTGATCCTTTCGACCCACCACCTGCGAACCAATATCCAACTGAAGAGACGGGAAAATATTTCATCGTCAGCCAATATACCAGAATAAATTTGCAATGAGAAAATTGTAGCAACGAGTGAATATCAGCGGCTAATATTCAATAGCCAGTTTATAGAACTTATAAAGGAAGCTCTCTGGGACTCAGGAATTATGAATTATCTACTCATCAGAGGCTGTTATACTGAGCCTTAATGTACACCGTATCCTCAGTGTTCGGTAAGTGAATAAAACAAGTGAAATCACGGAAGCGTGTTCCAGCAAAAAGGAATACCACATTGAGTGCCTTTTGCTTTCCGTTGAGAAACTGAAGTGTGTTCAAGCATGACCGTATATCACATTCTGTAAAGACAAAGAAAGAGAAAAACTAGGTGTGAATAATAACAGAAAAATGAACAAGAAGACAAAAGAACTGTATGTGTCAGAAAACACTGATGTGAGGAAGAACGCAACCCACCAGTGTACTCCGCAAGTGCAGCAAGTGCAATAGCGTTTGTCTTCATCCCCTCCTTGTTACATATATACTTGAGCCTACCATGACAATTTCCACAAGTTTAGATTGCTATCCCCAAATACCAAGATGAACGACCAAATCATTGCACGCATTTTAAACTATCCCTGAATACATACTTTTCATTTAGAGTTCACGGCAAGCAGTAAATCATCCTTCGATGCAAGTTTCCTTACTCATGTTTTACGGCTTCCTACGTTTGCTAGGAACATATTCTTATGCAATGCTCATTATGTCTCAATATAAATCATGCGAGGACACGTGTCATTAATAATCCCACATTTTTTCATTGTCATTAATGCATCATCTTAATCTCACAATACTCCTTTGGCTGTTTCAAACTATTCCAAAGGGTTCACATTAATACCACAGGCCACAACAACGGGTGGCAAATGCATAAAACCAATAAACCAAAGAGCATATGAATTTCAAAAAATTGGAACTTATGCATGTGAAACAGTACAGCCATGAGAAAGATTTACCTGCTAACTACACGGCTGACTGTAGGTTGGACAAATATGTGAACCCTGTAAACAAGCAGAAGCCAAAAAACAGTAAGCTTGTGAAAGATGCCACAACATTCATAGGACTATTTTGCCCAAGCAAAAACACAATAAATGGTGTTTACTAAGGACAGCAGTTGATCATTCAGGTCTAACCACAGGTGCATCACTGGATGAAAATTCTGAGCTACAGCCAGAATACTTGGTTGTTCAGTTACATACTAACAAATGGCATTCCTGCTAAGGACAGCAATCACATCCATTCTGGTGTAACAAAATAATGGCTCTGTAAAACCTAGTGATATGGTTTCAGTTCTTATTTTAATGACTAATTATTTAACCTTTCCCCCCACTTAACTTTGAGCATGGACACTGAACAACAAGTGATATCATAGCTGACCATACAAGTACTTTCTTCAGTCTGAGTTCAGTAAGCTGTACCAGAAAGTTAGTGTGGCATATTGAGAAACTTACTTTGCAACCTGACGTAATAGTCTCAAGGCTGGAGCATATAGATCATTGCATATGCAAATAACCTGCATTGAGAGCCAACTACTTATGTCAGAGGGGACAGGAAAAGGAAATATTCATTTTGGGGTTTGGTGTGTTGTTCAACTACTCACGGGTCTTGATAGAGAACTTGTTTTACGGCCCTTTTTGGACAATGTTCTTCCAGATTGTTCTCCTTTCGCAAGATTATCTTTCCCAGTCTCTGCCTTCTTGTCAGAAGAAACCTGCATGCCAATTGCAGCTCCTCAGAAACCCACAAGTAACACAGTGAAAAGGATGCACTTCACACAGAAATAGGCATCTGCTACAATCTTGCATATGAATGTATCTTCAAGTTAATGGGAACACAGGACACTGCCATCTGGAGGAATTCAGACTTTGCATCAGCCTAATAACAGAAAGTAAACTACTAAACTGCAAGATGAGATTTTTAGCATATTGTTTCAATCTCTAAGTGAGGGCATCAGAAAACCAAACGATGAATATTCTTGGTGGAATGAAAAGAAAATCAATCTGCTAGCCTTTGCCTGATAAAGAAATACCCAGCAACTTCTGGTATCAGAGAGCATGATTATCAACTGAGCATTTGATTATGAATAAAGAGAAGAGATAACGAAAGGATCATATGCAGAAGACTATGACAAGAAGAATTCTAAAGCTAAAGTTGGTATAACTAGAAAGTGCGTGCATGGTTATTAAGAAGGAAAGAGCAAAACTAGCACAATGGCAAATAAGTGCAGAGGAACAAGAATCAAAGTAAACTCCAAGACATAACAATTGAAATTAACAGTAAAAAAGTGTACTCTTCTCATACCATCTTCAGAATGACATCCACAGCACCTCTGCCATCACCAAGAGCACCATCTATCTCATCAATCACCTGTACCAACATGATCCATTGTATCTTCATCCTGAATCATAGAAATAAATGAAACTAAGAAACTTGTGACTAACCAAACACTTGGGCCTTGAGTCTGCCGTCACAGAGTTCATTTGGACCACATCAAGGATTTTAGCTTCAACGCTAGATGATGACCGATCATCACTTGCATTTATCTGTTCAGGAGAAAGCTACCGATAAGCAAATGGAAAATGTGGTAAAAGTTATGTGAATAATGAGGTGAATTTTGCTGCATAGGGTATTCTAATCCATCAAGAAATCAAGAACAAATAGCTTAATGTAGAAACCATTCTGTATCAAATCTAGCCTAAGGTGCACAATGTGGCCCAGAATTCTCAATTGAAGGACAAGCCATGCAGATGAAGTAGTCCATAGTCATCATTCACAAATGCAAGTATTAAGAGATAAATAAAAATCACTAATAGTGACTACAAGATAATTTCTCTGTAAGAATTATAAGTGATAACAAACCTCCACAACTCTGTACCCACAATGTTTAGCCGCTACATGCGCAAGTGTAGTCTTTCCAAGTCCTGGAGGACCACAGAGTAAAAGGATCTGCAATTTCACAGTATAGTTAGGAACGGTACTGCTAACAGACCAAAGGTCTAGCTCAAAAGCAAGATCACAGGATTAAAAGAACATATCTACTTCATTTGACTTCAAGTCCCAAAGAAGAATTAAAACATATCCTCGCTTAAGTAAGTCCTCCTTCTAACCTTTTGTTCTGGAGTACCACTTGGCCTTGGTTTCTTGTCTGTTAAGTCCTGCACTTGTTTAGAGTTATCATTTTCATGGTTCGTCCTATCATACCGTCTATCTTGCCCATTAGCCCATTTATGCCCTCTGCCTTTCCTCGTGAAAGACGTATCAGAATGTTTCTGATGTTGAGAAACAGTTGAATGACGCTTAAGAGCAGACAGAACCTCATCCGTTGTACTTCTAATTTCAGATCCAAAGACACAAGAATCCCATTGTTTCAACCACAAGAGAACCTGCAATGATAGACACAATTCTTAACTCTTGATCAATAACCAGGGAAGGCTATGCATGATAATTAACCACTTGCCTCTCGGTTTGTCTGCTCATCACTCAGCAGCTCCGTGAACGAATTAGGAGCGTACTTATCGACCCAAAGCTTCTCATGAACAACACCTGCATGAGACACCACAGCATCTTCCTGAACTTCAGCAGTAGCTTTCAATGCCTAAAGCACCAAAAGAAGAAGTATGAGAAGCATAAACTAGACCAGCATTGCAGTTTTGTCGGTATTTCAATCACGAAAAACGAGCGAGCCATTCAATTATGGTTCCTACCTTGTTGAAAGCCAATTGATCAGCCTTCTCGAAGAGAACACTGATAGGTTCCACTAAGAGACCTGCCAGGGAAATGAAAAATTGCAATAAGAGTGAAAAATCTGTGAAACTAGATCGTGCAGATTCGTATAGACCACTAATCTTACCGCATGATTGTGGTTTGAAGTTCAATTTCTTCGATACCACTTCCGTTTCTACTCCACATAACTTCGCATAAACCCTATCTTCGCCTCCCGGGGCAGTCACGGGGAAAAAGTCGCCATCAATCTTAGATATGTATTTTGACACAATCGTCTCCTCCTCCTCCTCCTCGTCCTCCTCATCTTTGTCCCCTTCCATCAGAACATCAACCCTATCCCCATCGTCCTCTACAACTCCGTCTCGTGGAGGAGAGTATCGGAGCCAGTCTTCGTCGTCGCCATCGTCGACTTTACTTCTCTTCTGGTCGGTTTTGACGGCAGCGGTGTCCTCCTCGCCCTGGTTAGACGAATCTGAAACTTCCGAGTGGAGACGCTTCTGACCGGTGCTTGAATCGGCCAAATTCGTTGGGGAACCAGGGGGTGATTGCGGTGGTTCTTCGTCAAATTGGAAGCTAGGTTGAACCTCGTCGTCTTCGTGAAAATTAGAGTTGGCTTCGAGCCATTCGAGCTCGTCTGCTTGAGGAATATCAAAGTCCATGTCCATTTCGTCGGTGCGTTGGCGGAGCTTGACGCTGCAGGTTGACTGTGAAGCAGCAGAGAGAAGAGAGTGAGATTGGGGTTTGGGGAGTGGGTTGCCTGGCGGGAAAATGGAATAGAAAGAAGCGGCAAAAAGTGGTTCGCCGGGTCTTTTATATTTCCAGCAATTTCTCACCTTTTTATTTTTTACAAATTACTAAATTTGTTTAAAAAATCACACAATATAACACTTCATTATAAATAAATAAATAAAATCAACTAGATCTATGGAGTACTGAACGATTTTTTATTAATAAAGTGCTTAAAGATTTTGACACAAGATCATTTTTAAATCCTTAAAATTATCGTCTTTGCTAATGTCTGGTAGGCCCTAAATTTATCTTATCGAATAAGTAAATCGACAACATGCAATCAATTTTCACTGTCTCGCTTATATGGTATGTAGTTGTATAGAGTTAGCAATTTGAATCCAATCTATCAATTCATTTACTAAAGTATCCAACTAATCTAATTCACGTAAATATAATACATGTGATTCATATATATTCAATTGAATTGGTGGTTTGATAGAAATTATAATTTAGTAAATTTATTTTTTATAATTTGAATTTCTGATTCATAAATTTAATATTTTAATGGAAACTATCATTTAAATTACACTTTGATACCTCAAATTTAAAATTTTCAAAATTTTAATTTTGGTTCAAGATTTGAATGCCTCTTGTATTCATGAATCCGATCAACTTGTCACCTCAATATGCAAGTGTATATCTTGTTGATAAGGTTCCAATTAATCAGACACAGTAGCCATTTTTATCTCGATGATCACCCAATCATCAATCTCACTCCCCAAGCTAGCTAAATATAAACAAATTATTTATTTAATAAGTAACGAAAATAACGAATCTTCGTGAACCTTTGTTTTGTTCAAAGCACTGCAACCAATAATTCATTTTCCTCTTCCTGGTTTTCTCCTTGGCGAGCCATTTTTCGGGTACTCTTTTCTTTTTTCTTTCTTCCTCCCTGTTCTTCGTTTCTTGTTGACGACGAGGAGATGGTGGGGCAACAGACGTTGATCTATAGCTTTGTGGCTCGAGGGACTGTGATCCTGGCGGACTACACCCAGTTCAACGGCAATTTCACCACCATCGCCGCCCAATGCCTCCAGAAACTGCCTTCTACCAATAACAAGTTCACTTATAACTGCGACGGCCACACCTTCAACTATCTCGTCGAAAATGGCTTCAGTATGCAATTTCCCCCCTTTTTTGTTTAATTGATATCGAACGAGTAATCTAAAATATGTGTTTTTTTGTCATTTCTTCAAATAAAAAAGATTTTCCATACAAATGCATACAATTTCCGTCACGGTTCTTGGATCACGAAGATCTGTATTAGATTGATTTGAATGTTTCATGTGTGCAAGAACTCGGGGTTCCATTTATTTATTTCATAAAATTCGTGAATAACTAGAATTATTCGAAGAATTTAATTGAACTTTTTACGATGAAAATAATATTTATATTTTGTAATTCTAATGATTTTAAGTTAAGAAGACGGATTTGAAACAAAAAAGCATCAACGTTCAACCCCTGTTTATGGTGACAAAATGAACTCAATTCACTCAGAGACCGGTTTTGTTGTTGTTGTTGTTGTTCATGCAATGCAGCCTTCTGCTTGGTTGCGGTTGAATCCGCTGGCAGGCAAATCCCAATCGCGTGTCTGGAGCGGATCAAGGACGAATTCAACAAGAAATATGCAGGAGGGAAAGCTTCGAGTGCCAAAGCTAATGGCCTCAAGAAAGAGTTTGGGTACGTCCTTAACTCGTTCTCTTGTTCTTGTTTTGCTGTCCTCAAGTTTTATTTTTATATGAATTAATGAATGCTTGTATATAGGCCAAAGCTGAGGGATAACATGCAGTACTGTGTGGATCATCCTGAGGAGATCAACAAGCTTGCAAAAGTCAAGGCTCAGGTTTCTGAGGTGAAAGGCGTGATGATGGAGAACATTGAGAAGGTTCTTGATCGTGGCGAGAAGATCGAGCTGCTCGTGGACAAGACCGAAAACCTTCGCTCACAGGCACAGGACTTCAGACAACAGGGAACCAAGATCAAGAGGAAGATGTGGTACGAGAACATGAAGATGAAGCTCATCGTGTTCGGTATCTTCGCCGCGTTGATCCTGCTCATCTGGCTATCCGTTTGCCATGGCTTCAAGTGTCAGTAGTAGTAAAACTACTCAAGGCGGCATCAAGGAAGAAGCTGTACTGGGAATCAATATCCTAGCCATCATTCAAGTCGAGTTTTCTGTTTGTAATGTTTTGCTCCCCTGTTCTTGGTTTGGCCAAATTTTGGGTGGGGTTTTTGCTTTGTTCATTGATCTATTTTTTTGCAGATCTCTCCATAACTGTAGCTAAATTAGGAAGTCAGAACAGCCGTGTACTTCTGTTTCCATATTTTGTTTTTTGTTTGGATTGATTGGATACGGTTAAAACCCTGTTTTTGTTGGGTATCTTGCCGTAGATTTGCTCTGTTATGCTGGTCCAGCATCACATGTACGGTTTGTTACACAATTGAACAGAGGTTCATCAATGGATACTCACTCAAATGATGTTCACCAACACTGAAGTTCTATGCTTTCTATTCCTCCACACACATCCGATAAAATTGGAACGAGACACACATCAAAACGGTCGTACAAACATCCCCCAGTTACCGTCTCTGTACAGCTTTTATCAAAAAGGGATTGATAAAGTTGCGCCAAGGGTACCCCAAAACGAAAGAGGCAAAGAGTATGTATGTGTATAGATCAGCAGGCTAACTGATCTCTGACTGGGGAGATCTCTTCGAAAATGGGGAGTCTCCTAGATCTGTATGGTGTCCATTGCCCCATCAACTGGTCTAGTCCCTCGGCGAATGCATCTTCTAAGCTCGATCCAATAGGGGTAGGCGAGGCGGATGGTGATTGGCACATTTCCTCCATTTCTTGGAGTAGCTCCTCCACACGGTTTCTCGACTTGGGATCGTCGTGTCCAAGAAGCTTGCCACGTACTACATCATCGAGCACCGAGCGTGCTTCAGCGAATCGCATTTGCTTCATTAGGCACGTGCTTAAGTTGCAGGCCTTATTGGCATCGGGGTCGATTACCTGAGCTTTACGGTACACTACTTCTGCAGCTGAGTAATTACCAAGCTGCATATATGCCCAACCCAAGTTCCCCTGCATTGTGGTGCACATGTTTCCTATTGTCAGGCTTTTCTTAGGCACTAGTAGGAAGACCAACGGGACAATTATTAGTACAGCTTGAAACAATAGCCAGAGAGTGCATTAATACCAGTATCCGAGAAGTCTCCTGCTTGACTGTGACCTGGAACTTCCTCCCATGAGAGCGAGCTGTCTTAGTCGGCTTGCCATTAAACGCTTCTCCATGGTAAATCATCCGAAGCTTCTGCTTCAACAGCTCAATCTGCTCCTCCATCCTTCCACATTTCTATAAAAATAAACATTTCACCACGATGAATTTCCAAACTGCAGCAAAACAAGGGAAAGACAGGCAACACAATAACTGTCACTGATCACCTACCTTGTAAAGGTCAATGAGGACATTGTCAAGTGACTCTTGAGCTTGCTTGGAGCAGAGATGCCTAAACCGCCTTATCGCTTCAATAGCTACTTCGGCTCTATCTTGCTGCTTCATCACCAGTGCCATGTCTTTGAGGGCACTGTCGACTCTATCTCCTGCGCTGATCGCTTTCAAGAACCACTGAACTGCGGCTTCTGGGTCCTTCTCTACTAGCTGTATAAAGGACAAGGAAACAAAAACCACAACTCTGTTACAGAAGGCCAAAGAGGGGCGAAAATGTGACACAGAAGAACAATTCAACACAACTACACAAGCAGGTCTTGCCATCCTGCACATTTCCTTTTTATGCATTCTCTGCTAGCGACTAGGAAAGGTAAAGATTCCGATCAAATCTCAGGTGCTTTCCGCCATTGGAAAGGAAACAAATTGGAAGACAGTGCAACAGAAGGTCTGCCACTTCGATCAGCTAAGCTTTTCTCTTCCTATCTGACTCGAATAAATGACGAATTACCAACGCTGTTGTGAGTTATAATCCAGCAAACTCTAAACCTCACTCACTGTAATCAGAAATCCAGAGACCAAAAAGGATAGCTTCAACAAATGAATGAAGCACAGCATAGGAACAGAACAGAACAGAACAGATATCAGGAGCTGTTTCTGCTAATTTTTCAATCGACAGCAACTAACTTGAACAAATGGGTTCTCCAATTCTTTTCACTTCTCTAGTGGGCACGATAGATCGGATTGAATCAATGAGAAATTTGTACTGTGCAGATCGATTCAGGGGGGAACCAGACTGCTCATATTCATTACGCCATTACCCAAACCCCCAAAGAAGAAGAAAAAAAGAACCAAAATTTCGAAGAAGAAAGGAATTACCTGAACGTGCTTAGCTCGAACGTAAGGGCCGTCGCCAGGCGGAAGCTTGTGAACGACGTGATACGGAGCAGCGTCTGAGCTGAGATGCTGCATCTCAGGCGCTTTCAGAAGAACCCTCTGATGGCTCATCGTCTCCTCTTGCATCGAGAAGAAAGAAAACAGGGTACAGCAGAAGAAAAGGCGAGAATGGCAGAGTTGAGAGATATGTAAACGGCTGCAAAAAACTGGTGAGCTGTGGAGGGAAAAAGGCGAAGTGTTTTCTGAGCTTTTCCTCCGGGGAAGAAGGCAGAGGAAGAGGAGGCAAAAGAGACTTAAGGGAGCGGAGAATGAATGTGGACACAGTGTGGGTCTTGCTTCATTCCAACGGATCCCAGAAGGGACCGGGTTGCTCCGCCACGTATAAGGGGCGGACACGTGGCGGATTACCGACGTGCTTCCAAGTCCCAACTAATTTTCTCATTTTTCTTTCGCTTCTTGTTATCTTGTTGGGATTTGTGAAACCTAACCTGCCTCTTCCCTGGCCGTCAGTCTCCCAAAGTTAGGGATGGCAATGGGTCGGGTTGGGCGCGGATAGTGCATATCCGTTACCCTACCCAATATAGTTCGGGTTTTACTCATACCCGTACCCACACGAGAAACGGGTAGAAAATCAAAATCATGCCCATACCCGTTCGGGTTTCGGGTATCCACGGTTATACATGGGTAATAATTTCTCCTTATAATTCCAACCAATATGTTAACATTCACACGTATACTCACATTATGTAAGAGGAAAAGTACGACAATAATTCACTAGAATGACGAAAATTAATTAAAACAACATAACCTCATGAAAATATTATATTTATATGCTAAATATAAAATATTCTAGAGAAACATAATGATTATTTCTAGACAAAATACATATGCATGTGTATAATCGGGCGGGTTCGGGTTGGATAGTGAGATAACCATGCCCACCCATTACCCGCAATATTCGGGTTCGGGTTTTACCCATACCCATGAAAAATGCTTCGGGTTCGGGTTTTACCCAACCCGATTAGGTCGGATTCGGGTGGATATCCACGGTTACGGATATTTTTGCCATCCCTACCCAAAGTTATCCCTCTTAATTGATTGAGTACCTTTATGTAAATAGGTAGGGTTTGGGTGATCAAATCAAACCCATATAAATGTTGAGCCTGTACCGAAGGGAAAAAAAAAAGTCGAATAATATACGAAAATTTGAGAGATATAATCTCTAAGGATTAGTGTCTAATCGACGATATCATGTTAAAAAAGTCTTTATATATTTTCAATTTTGCTTAGCTTTATTTGACAATCCGCACACAAGGTTGAAAGTTTGGTTTGGTTTCGGTTTTAACCGAAACCACGTGATCAGAGAGCGGATCTGGTGACTAAGGGGGGGTGCTTAGTCACTTGGCTAAGCCCCCCTCAGCCATTGGATCCTTATTAATTGATCTAATGGTGGAAATAAGGGAAGGGATGATTAAATAATGAGAGGGGCAATTTTGGGATTATGAAAATTTTATTTAATTTTTTATTTCTCCAGCCAGTCTTCTTCTGCGTATGATGGAAGAACGCCGCCCATGAGAGAGAGAAGGGGAGAACGCCGACGATGATGGAAGATCGACGGTGCCGGCGACGACGACAATGGAGATCGACGGTGCCGGCGACGACGAAGAGAGGGAAAGGAGAACGAACGTACAGAGGCGGCGGCTTTGAAGAGAGAGAAAGCAGATCTCGTCGTCGGGAAACCAGAGGAGAGAGAGAGACAATGGAGAGGCGGCGGAGAGAGAGCGCCGGCGACAATGGAGGAGAGAGAGGCGGCGCGACGATGGAGAGAGAGAGAGAGAGGTTGCGATGGCAGTAGATTGAATCAGCGGCGGCAGCGGTGGAGAGAGAGTCGACGGCGGCGGCAGCGGTGAAGAGAGAGTCGTCTGAAGGAAGAACAGTGATTTGTATAGTTTGTATGTTTTGTAACATTAGTTTGTATTGTTAGTATTTTTGTACAAAATGTCAGTATGGTTTGTATGTTTTTCTTTGACAGTTTGTACTCTTAGTATGTTTTTCTTTGACAGTTTGTACTCTTAGTATGTTTTTCTTTGACAGTATGGTTTGTATGTTTTTCTTTGACAGTTTGTACTCTTAGTATGTTTTTCTTTGACAGTTTGTACTCTTAGTATGTTTTTCTTTGACAGTTTGTATTCTTAGTATGTTTTGCTTGTATTCTTAGTATGTTTCGCTTTGTATTGTAAGTACTAATAATTTGTATACTTTATATGTATTGATTTGTGATGCAAAAAAACATTACAAACATGGTTGACAAAAATGACAAACATATGGACAAAAATAACAAACATTACAAACAATACAAAAGAAACCAACAAACATTACAAACAATACAAAATAACAAACATTACAAACATTGCAAACAAACATTACAAACATTACAAACAAACATTACAAACAGTACAAAGCATACTACACGTACAGAATATCACTACTTACAATACAGATTGGTAAACTTGTATTACAAACAAATGAATACAAAGTATACAAATCATAACATAAAAGTATACAAACATTACAAACATTGCAAACAAACATTACAAACATTACAAACAAATGAATACAAAGTATACAAATCATAACATAAAAGTATACAAACATTACAAAATAACAAACATGACAAACAAACATTACAAACATTACAATGTATACAAAATAGTTATATAAACATTACAAACATCACGAACTCAATACTGTTGTCGGAAAATCATCCACCACCGTCTCTGGTCGCCGGAAAACTGCTCCGCCGTCGCCGGAAAAGCTCTCTCTCTCTCTCTCTCTCTCTCTCTCTCTCTCTCTCTCTCTCTCTCTGAGGGGAAGGGGAACGTATTTCCTGGGACAAAAAAATATGGTGGAAGGGGAATATAATATTCCCAGGACAGGAACCGACGATTCTCTCTTGGGACAAAAAAATGGTGGCCGCCGGAAATCCTGGACGGCGGGAGTACGCCGGAAAAGTTTGAGCGGCAGCGGGGAGGAAAGTGCCGCCTCTTTTTAATTTTAATTATTATAATATAAAATAATCATGAACTATGCAATTACTTCATTACCCTTCATTAAATTGAATTAATTGGAGCCATTAGATTTTAATGAGGTTGAAGGGTTGAGATCGACTTAGGCAAGTGACTAAGGGACCCCCCCTTAGTCACCTGATCTTATCCCACGTGATCAGGGTGGAGTTAGTATGTTGGAAGGAGTTACGTCGCACAGGGCTAAGATCAGGTGACTAAGGGGACTCCCCTTAGTCAGTTGCCTAAGTCGATATCAGCCCTTCACGCTCATTAAAATCTAATGGCTCCAATTAATTCAATTTAAGGAAGGATAATGTAGTAATTGCATGATTATTTTATTCGTTAATTGTTAATAATTAAAACCTTTGTTTCCGTATGTTTCATCCCCGCGCCGACAAGTGATGTCCGGCGTCCCCTGCGCAACTCTGCCGGCGATGGAATATCTCCGATCACCTCTTCCCGCCAGCCAAGGAACCGCCGACCAGGGGCGTCCTCTCCTGGCGGTCCTTTTTTGTAGAGTTAAGGGATTTTTCCTCAAAGCTTCTGTAAGAGAGAGAGAGAGATTTCCAGTGGGTTTTTCGGCGACGGCAAAGGAGTCCGCTGAAGTCGAATTTTCCGGCGGCAGTGCTGGATTCGTGATGTTTGTCGACCTATTTTGTAATGTTTATAAGTGAAGTTTGTAATATTTATATCAATTCGGTTTGTATCGATCGTTTATCATTCTAGTTTGTTATTTTTGTCTATTGTGTTTGTAATGTTTACCTGGCTAATTTGTATATATTCTTATTTATAGTATTTGTTGCCTAGTTTGTATACTTTATGTTATGATTTGTATACTTTATATTCATTGATTTGTAATGTAATTTTATCGATTTGTATTGTAAGTAGTGTTATTTTGTAATGTTAGTATGCTTTGTAATGTTTTTCGGTTTCTTCTGTAATGTTTGTTATTTTTGTAATGTTTGACGGTTTCTTTTGTAAGGTGTGTAAGGTTTGTTATTTTCATGCACCATGTTTTTCATTTTTGTCAACCATTTTTGTAATGTTTTTTTATGTCTAAAAAATAACCTGGTTGACTTTTGGATGAAACTCCTCTATATAGGGATGGAGCCTCCATAGTCAACCCGAGTATTTTTTCCAGTTTGTATGTTTGTCGGTCTAGTTTGTCATTTTTATCCACCATGTTCGTAATGTTTGTATGTCTAAAAAACAACCGGATTGACTTTGGGACGGAGCCCTCTATATAGGGATGGAGCCTCTAAAGTCAACCCGGTTGTTTTTTCTTTTTTATATGGTTTGTATTGTTTGTGAGTCTAGTTTGTATTGTTTGTACAATTCATATGTTTGTAATGTTTGTAAATCTGTTTGTATGTTTTGTCGTTGTAGTTTGTACTATTTTTATGTTTGTATTGTTTGTACTGATTATAAGTCCGGTTTGTATACTTCATAATTTTTCATAATACCCAACTACTATCCCTATCATTAATTAAATAGCCCTTCCCACTTTTTAACTGTTAAATTGATGTGTCCAGATCTAAAGAATGAGAGGGGCTTAGTCAAGACTCAAGTGACTAAGTCACCGGATCCTCTCTAATGTGGCACAACCTTAGGTTGGAAGAACAAGGTTAAAAGTTGGTATACTATTTTGTTTATAATGAGATTTGAACATGGAACCATAATTCTAGTACTTAGTATTTCTATCATCAAACTTAGGGGTGGGCAACGGGAAACGGGTATTTGGGTATACCCGTACCCGTCCCATTTTTTAAGGGTTACGGGTACCCATATTACCCGTAATATTATAAACGGATGGGACTTGGGATTGTACATTCCTAATATGGGTACCCGCGGGTTACCCGCGAATACCCGTTTGGGTAATATGGGTACCCGTTATACCCATTCAATACAAATGCAGAAATTTAATCCAACCCAATTCAAAACCCATTGGCCATTTCGGCCCTTACCCTTTCAATTTCAATTCCATTTGGGCCCTTACCCTTTCACTCTTTCACTGACATGTTTGGTGAATTAGTAGAGAGGGTTGGGATGTGTTGAATGAAACTTTTTTTTTTGATAATTTGGTACTTGAAATGATTTATTTTTATGTGTTGTGATTGTTCATGAATGTGTAATTTGCAAACCAAGTATTTGTGATTGGGATGTATTTTGTGTCTTGTGATTGTTAAGCAAATACAAGTTAAGTTTAAACTTTTGTTAAAATTTTAGTGGTTTAAACTTTGGGTATTTATGGGTAGTATGGGTACCCGTTATCCGTCCCGTACGGGTAATGGGTACCCGTTTCTCATATGAGTTTGGGATATGGGATGGACTTTGGTCTCCAAATGGGATTG